CAATAATGAAAATGTAATTTGATTCAGAAGCAATAAAAATAACGATAACAAATCTCTTAACAAAACAACTTAAACACAGTTAACTAGACTAAACAACTCCTTTTTTACTAAACACATCTATAATGAACTATCATAAGGATAGAACCCATATTTATAATCTTTCAGCAAACAACATTTACCAGATACTCATAGCCATGCTATGACATCAAATAACATTATTCGTAGTTCCACAACGATTAACGACATGATTTCATCCAACATAACAAATGCTTATCAACTTATTATGTAACCAAGGCATTTAGCCTAATATCATCTTAAAACCTAACACATTGTGAGAATATGAGAGTTACTCAATCATATTCTGTCGGATTATGTAAGCAGTTTGGAGTCAATTATGTTGACTATAGAATATGAAGAGGTTCCTTCGTATTATTGAGAGTGTTTTATTGTTAGTTCGTGAGATTGAAATCTAGATTGTTAGTTGATTTAGCCTAAATGAAATCTATTGTGATTTTGGCCTGCAATTGGGCCTAGAACATGCTGAGAAGCACAATTACCAAAATGGAGGTTCTATTAGCTTCTATATATGCTAGAATATGCTGCCAGGCTGAGTTGAATTAGTAATTATTTGTGAATCTAGAATCACTAGAAATACTATAAAAGGCGAAATTTTTCTGAATCTTTTCATTTTCTTCTTCTTAAATATACATCAGTTTTTGTCTCGACTTCTTAGTGTAATAACATCGAAACATCAATTATCTGGATAGTAAACCTAAACTAGGGTAATTGAACCTCGAGAAGTCGATTATAGCATCATTGGAAGGCTATAGCTGTTGTTAGTAAAGTGTACTGCTTAGTAAGCACAACCTCTATAGCCTTAGAGATCCCGTATTCTTACAAACATTTAGCCGCATTTGAGGCTCTCTGTCATAACAAACCGAGGGTAAAAAACGTGACTTTTATAATTTTTCATCATACAATTTTGAAGAGTTCCGGTGTTTTTTTTTTGCATTGTTTTTGTTTACAAAACGTTTGAAAACAACATGTATCGTTAATAGTTATTCGTCTTTTCCAGTTCCATTAAAGGCGGCTCAATTGTTTCAATATACTAATAGCAGTGAAATGCGTCGCTACTCAGAGATTCCCAATACTCCAACTCCATTTTCAAAAAGCAACCCAAACGAATTGAAGATAGGGTCTGTTTTAACCATTCCAAATACTGGTAGGGCTGTATTGAAATATGTTGGTCCAGTGCAGGGCAAAAATGGTACATTTGCTGGTGTTGAATTGCTAGGTGAAAGTGCTGCTCTAGGAAAGAATAGCGGTGATGTCAATGGGATAGAGTATTTCAGAACAAAGACACCTGGATCTGGTTTATTCATGACATATGAAAAATTGATGGGATTGGTCGATTATGTGGAATCACCACCTTTGAAAAGATTATCACTAATGAACTCACCAACTAATGTTTTTGGAACCACACCCGCGAGAAGCCGGCTGTCGCTAACGCCTGGTCACCTAGCACATACAAGAAGTATTTCAAAGAGAAGTTCAATCGCAAGATCTCATAGTGGAACTCCACCACCACTGCCACAACAGTCTCAAAAGAAAGTTTCACCGTCCTATGAAGAGCTAAATCGCCTTTCCACAGCAAAGACTTTAGTTGAAAATGAGAAAAGTAACTTGATCCATGAAACTGATTCCCTAAAATATGAAATTGAAGAGCTTAAGTCAAGACTTGAACATCATGAGCACGTTATACGGGAATTAGAGAAATCGCATAACCAAGACGTTCTTAAAATTCAAAATTCAGAAGAAAGGACTTCTGATCTGCAGAAAAAGTTATTGAAGCAAAAGGCATCTCATGAAGAGCAACGCGATGAGCTTTTAGACGTGATTGATCAATTGGAATCTCAAGTGAATGATAACGAAAAACTTTATCTCGGTGAACTTCAAAGATTGCAAATTGAAATTAAAGAGAAAGAGGAATTGCTGCAAAGCTTGCAATCAGGTGATAATAAGAAATCTTTGGAAGGTAATTCCAGGTTGCTGGATCTAGAAAATCGATTTGAAAAATTGAAATTAGAGAAAGATGACCGTGACAAAATAATCGAGGAGTTGAGATCGAAAACAAAAGAAACAGAAGATAAACTTGTAAATTTAAACAAGGAAAGTTTGGAACTGAAAGAAACTGCAATCAGTGACCAAAAGGCCTACGAAGCGGAATTAAAGGATGCTCAAGACAAGATATTAAAGTTGGAGGAAGATCATGAGGTAAAAGATAGAGTAATAGAAAAACTTAGAGAGGAGATCAAGCTAATCAAAGCAGAATCCAAGGATGATGGTTCTATATTGAAGCTTCAAACAGAAGTTCAAGATCTCAAAGACCAATTACAGAAAACAGAGACGGAAGCGCTCGAGGTTTCCAAACTTCAAGACCAAATCAAATCACTAGAAAGTCAGGCTCAATTGAATTCAAATACAGATAAAGTCAATGAGCTCGAGTTCAAATTGGAAAACAAGGAACGTATAATCAAAGATCTTCAAGATCAAATATCCACAAGCCGTGATGTGTCAGTTGAGGGTAGCGACTCCAAAGCTGATTCACACCAATTACGAATGCTCCAAGAGGAACTAATCAAGAAAGATAATATCATAAAAGATAATGAAACTATGCTAAAGGTTTTGGATGCTGTTAAAAGGGAGGCTGAAACATTGAGAGAGGAAATCACCAATAAGCAGCAAAAGCTTGAAGATAAGGAAGCTGAAATCAAAAGTTTGAAAATATCTGATGATTCAAAGAAATCCATAGAGGAAAAATTGACTGCTAAGGAAAAAGAACTGTCATCACTAAGACAAACATTATCAGATCTACAGAAACAGCTCAAGGAACTTAAATTGGTTGATCAAAAGAAGTCCGTTATAGAGACAGAAAGGGCTGATTTGAATGAGAAGCTCAGACAGAAAGAGGCTGAATTGGATAGTTTGAATAAAAAATTGGAAGAAGTGAGCTCCATAGCCAAAGTACAATCTGTTAATGAGAATCATGATTCTATACTAGAGGAAAAAGATATTGAAATCGAGTTACTTAAGGAGGAGCTATTGCAACTCAAATCATCATCAAATCAAACTCCCGAATTTGAAAGTTTGAAAAAAGAATTAAATGATTTGAAAAAGTTGAATCTTTTGACAACCAATAATGAACTTAATAAACAAATTGAGTTACTACAAGCTGAACTAAAGGCAAGACCAAGTGCATCTGAGTTCCAAGAATTGAGATCTGAGCTTGAATTGATTGATGAACTGCGTAAAGTGGAAGCTAAAGATAAAGATAAACAGATTGAAAAACTACAAATTCTATTAACAGAGTCAACAAAGAGATTAAACGAATCCAACAAGAAAATTACTGATTCAGCAAAGAAGGAAAAGTTCAAGCCTAGTCAAATTTATTCAGATAATGATCAGAAGGATGTTAATCGTTCCACAATGAGTAATCTGTCGTTAAACAGACCACCAGTTATTTCCCAGGTTGTTGACGGGGCACTCCAGATCTATGTTCCAGATGCCAAAGATCCAGCAAATGGGCGTAAGCTGTGGTGTGGACTTTGTGAGAGAGAAGGCCACGATAGTATCGACTGTCCTTATGAAAATGATATCTTTTAGCTATAATTAATGAAGAATTTATTTATTTATTTGGGAAATGATTGTTGTAGTTGAAAATCGCAGGCTCACCGGCTTAGGCCTAGTTTTCCCCCGGCAGATGAGCAGATGGCAGATGGCAGATGGGAATTTTTGGGACAAAACCGCGAAATGTCCCATCTGCTGGCCCAATTTTTCATCTGCCAGAGTTCAGCAGATGAAAAATGTTTTTCAGCAGATGGCACTGAATTTTGGCTGGGAGTTTGAAATCGAGAAAAAAAAGGTAGCGAAGCGTATCAAACAGATGGCCTCTACACAACAATAACGTCAACACCACTTCACCATGGGCTCATATAGTCCTTCCAGCCAATGTCAAGGCTAAAGTAGAAGCTGCCGCTTCTATTGGAAAGAAAAATAGAAAATAAGTAAAGGAATTGGTGAACTGAGACGTTAGTTTGTCAGAGACTTCAGGGAAGCTTTGATATATCATTGAACCAAAATGTAGTCTATAAGAGGCTACAAATCACATTGAGAAGGTTTACACCCTTTCTATAGTAAGTATTTGATAGGTCTTATAATCCATTCATTTTTAAATCAGTTTGATATGATGAAACAGTGGAAAAAGAACCTTTATTAACCAACGTTGTTGACCAAAATCTGCTGTCGATTAGTTAAAGCTTACTAGCTCAAAACGAAACGGATCTTCAAATCAGGAAAAGGCTGATACACTTCTTCAGTGTCTTCGCTAACTTTACACTGCTACTTCAGGGTGTAGACTGGCTTTCTATTATGTTAAATAATCATTTTAACATGTGTGATGTTACTGGAAATTTGAACAGGATTAATTCAAGAATAAGTAGCTATAACAAACGAATAAATGACTAGAAACAGCATTAACCTCCACAGAAGAGACTATAAATGAAAACATAACATCAAACACAATTATATAGGATGTTTTGCTAAAGTATAGAAGTCCTTTGAACAGTTCGTCTTGAAGGTTCTTTCAAATCAGAATATCGATATATGATCTAGCGGCTTTCATTTGGCACTGAGCCACTTTCTTTATCTATAGTCTAGTCAAGAAATGAGTACTGTCTCTGTAGCATAGAGCAGTATATCTAATATGGTTGGATATATCTTGTAATGGTGTTGAAACCTCATTCAATTCGACACTTCGCACTTCATCTGCCAGTTTCTCTTCCCCTTTGCTGGCAGATGGCAGATAGAGTCGCGAATTGTCTCTTTTTTTTTCATCTGCTATCTGCCATCTGCTCATCTGCCGGGGGAAAACTAGGCCTTTAATTTTTTTTTTTTTATTTTTTTTTTTCCTTCAGTGAGTCAAAAAGTCAAAAATCACCAGTATTTAATCAGTACAGATTGGATCTTTTATCAAGACAATAGAACCAATCCACCCACCTACTCACATAACAAGGATGCCTTTCCCAGTACTACCTCTTTATGAGGCTGCTGCTTCATTAGAGCAAATAAAGAAACTGTCCGTTACAGGATTAGCATTGTTCAAGCTGAAAGATGAATCAGACTTATCAATAATCACTTCAAATGCTGAACTTTTGAAAAACTCAGAAATTAGTATTGAATTCACTGCAAAAGTTGACATCTCCAAGATAATCGAACTATTAAACAACGGTGTTAGTAAGATTTTTGCTGATGTTGACTATTATGAAGAATTGATTGATGCTGGTATTCCATCAACTAGAATTGGATTAAAATTGACTTCTTGTAATGAAATTTCAAAATACGATGCTTCTGTCTCAGTTATTTTACCATCATCTGAACCATTAGGTGATTTGAAAGCTGCCACTAACGGTGGAGAAAGATCAATCTTTGTTTCCTTAGATGAATCATCTCATGTCACTATCAATTCATTAGTTGCATCTAATTTGATTCCAATTATTAATAATGAAGATTTGACCACTGACAAACAAGATGGCAAAATCTCAATTAGTGATTTATTTGTGAGCTCATTAACCACTGATAGAAAAGATGGTTTGTTCACTACTTTGGTTACTGATGTCCATAATCATTCATTAGGTCTTGTCTACTCTTCAAAAGAGTCAATCAGTGAAGCCATTAGAACCAAAACCGGTGTTTATCAATCTAGACGTCATGGATTATGGTATAAAGGTGCTACTTCAGGGGCTACACAAGAGTTGATCAAATTGGATAAGGATTGTGATGGTGATTGTTTGAAATTTGTTGTCAAACAATCTGGTGTTGGATTTTGTCACTTGGAACAAGATTCATGTTTTGGTAACATTTCAGGCTTAGCAAGATTAGAAAAAACTTTAGCAGATAGATTAGAAAATGCTCCAGAAGGTTCATACACCAAAAGATTATTCACTGATGAAAAATTATTAGTTGCAAAGATTAAAGAAGAAGCTGAAGAGTTAACAGAAGCCGAAACTAAAGAAGATATCGCCTGGGAAGCTGCTGATCTATTCTATTTTGCCCTTACAAGATGTGTCAAGAATGGTGTTTCATTAGAGGATATTGAAAGAAATTTGGATTTGAAAGGATTGAAAATTACTAGAAGAAAAGGTGATGCTAAACCAAAGTTCATTGAACAAGAATCAAAACCTGCAACTACAGCTGCACCAGCAAAGAAAGAAATAGAAGCTGTTGATCCAAATGAAAGAATCTTGATGGGCGTTGTTAACACCAAGACTGCATCAAATGAAGAAATTGAAGCTGCTTTGAAAAGACCAGTTCAAAAAACCTCAGAAATTATGAAACTAGTCAATCCTATTGTGGAAAATGTTCGTCAGAAAGGTGATGAAGCTTTATTAGAGTACACTGCTAAATTTGATGGTGTTAAATTAAGTTCACCAATCTTGAAAGCACCATTTGACCCAAAGACTTATGCCGTTACTCAAGAATTGAAAGATGCTATTGATATTTCCGTGGAGAATGTTTATAAATTCCACAAGGCCCAATTACAAGAAGAGACTTTACATGTTGAAACACAACCTGGTGTTGTTTGTTCCAGATTTGCTAGACCAATTGAAAGTGTTGGGTTATATGTTCCAGGTGGTACCGCTGTTTTACCATCAACTACATTAATGTTGGGTGTTCCTGCTCAAGTTGCTGGATGTAAAAACATTGTTATTGCTTCACCACCAAGAAAAGATGGTTCAATTTCACCAGAAGTTGTGTATATTGCTCATAAAATTGGTGCTTCTGCAATCGTTTTAGCAGGTGGTGCTCAAGCTGTTGCAGCTTTAGCTTATGGTACTCAAAGTGTTCCAAAAGTTGACAAGATCTTGGGGCCAGGTAATCAATTTGTTACAGCTGCTAAAATGTATGTTCAAAATGATACTAGTGCCCTATGTTCTATTGATATGCCAGCTGGTCCTTCTGAAGTTTTAGTTATTGCTGATGGTAAAGCTGATCCAGATTTTGTTGCATCTGATTTATTGTCACAAGCTGAACATGGTATTGATTCTCAAGTTATTTTAATTGGTGTTGATTTATCTGAAAAAGAATTGACAGCTATTGAAAATGCAGTCCATGAACAAGCCTTAGAATTACCAAGAGTTGAAATTGTTCGTAAATGTATTAAACATTCAACTACTTTATTAGTTTCATCTTATGATGAAGCATTTGATTTATCAAACAAATATGCACCAGAACATTTAATCTTACAGATTGCTAATGCTAGAGATTATGTTTCAAAAGTTGATAACGCAGGTTCCGTTTTCGTTGGTGCTTATTCTCCAGAAAGTTTAGGTGATTATTCAAGTGGTACTAATCATACTTTACCAACTTATGGTTATGCTAAAATGTATAGTGGTGTTAACACTGCAACTTTCCAAAAATTCTTAACAAGTCAAGATGTTACACCTGAAGGTTTGAAAAACATCGGTCATGCTGTTATGTCAATTGCTAAAGTTGAAGGTTTAGATGCTCATAGAAATGCTGTCAAAATTAGAATGGAGAAATTGGGATTATTAGATAAAGATTTTGTTTAAATATTTGTACAAATTTAAAAAATAAAAAGTTTCATTTATCATAGACATGTATTAATCTAGCAATAATTATTATTCTTGATCTATAATTTTAACAACTTTTTCAATTGACCTGAACGTTTCAAAGATTGTAAATCTGAATTACCACCAATATGTTCACCATCAATGAAGATGTTTGGAACTGTTGATTGACCAGTGATTTCAGCTAAAGCATCTTGAATTTCAGAACCATCACCAATTTGGTTCAATTGTAAAACATATGGTTGAACTTTCAAATCCTCAAATGTAGATAGTGTTTCTTTACAATATGGACAGTATGATTTTGAAGCAACAAAGATGCTATTTGAATCAATCAAGTTTTTAACTTTTGTAACAACTTCTTGTCTAGCCATTTTTTTAGGTCCAAAGAATCTTTGAAATACTGAAAACAATTTGAATATTAAGAATAAACCTAAGACGATATAAAGTAAATCCATAAAATAAATTTAAAGATTGATTAAATGTAATTATAATTGAGTTTCTTAAATACTTGTACAATTCGCAACCAGAACGATTACGATTATTAATTTTCGGCAATTCTTGTGGCGAAAAAGAGCACTTCGCGAATGCGTTTTGCAAATGCTTTTTTGCGCTTTCGGAGAAATGTTGCGCGGAGCAGGGATGAAATCCCATGGTTGGGGACACATGACAGCTGAGAAGTTGAAAGATGTAAAGGTATCTTTGAGTTCAAAATAGAATATGAATAGATGAATGATATCTTTAAGGTAAACAAAATAATGGATCTTGAAATAAGTCTGAAAGTACTACAGAAAACTATGCTTTCACGTGAAATTGCTCGAAATCTGAACTTGGTGATGTAGTGGCCTTGCGAATTTTCAAATTTAAGAGGTCTGGAGAACAAAAGGGAGATAAAGAGCGTGGGAGAATTCATTTACTTTAGCTGGAATCTCAAGGCCAAAGTAATTGCAAAATGGGTGTATTCACTGATCATCCACATACTGCGATCACTGAAAAGATCAATTCCATCATTGAGACAGATTTGGAACCTGATATCGAGTTACCAGAACTTATAAACACCATCAAGTTACAGTATTCAGGAGCTATTGAAGCAGCTAGAGCAATTCGTAAAAAATTGAAATATGGTCAATCGAAAGAACAATTCAAGAGTTTGGATTTGCTTAATGCAATGGTTGTTAATGGTGGTAGACAATTAGAAGAGCTATATAATGACAGAAAGTTGTTGGAAAGATTAAAGCTGAGTGCAACAGACCCTCAAATTAATACAAAATTGAGAAAAAAGATTATTATATTGGCTATCTCTTGGAATGAAAACTTTTCTGATAAAAAGTACTATCAAGGTATTGCTGGGTTAAAGAAACAGATTCCTACAAAGAGTTATAAACGTAAGAAATCAACAACTGAAACTGGAAGTTCTTCAAATTTCATGAATGATGAAGCTTATAATAGTGAAGAAGACTCAGGCTCCGCAGCAGGCTCATCAAGTAACCTGTCAGGTAGATCCAGAACAAACACTAGTCAAAATGTTGATCCAAATGTTAAATATAAAATTCCAAAAATCAATTTACAGAAAGAATCTCCAAAGATCAAGTTATTAATTGCTGAAGCCTCACAAGCCTCCATAAATTTGAGTAATTCCCTAAAAAGCGTCAATGTTGCTAAGGGTGAAACATCAACAGATAATGTCAAAGCTACTCAATATTTCGATAAATCAAGAATCATTAGAAGAAAAATTTTGCATTATCTACAATTAGTTGATTCTGAAGAATTTTTAGGAAGTTTGATCCACGCCAATGAAGAATTAGTTCAAGCCTTACAACAATATACAGAATATGCAGCAAAGATAACCAGTCATGATTCAGATGATGAAAGTTTAAGCTCTTATGAATCAGGATCGGATTTGGAATCAGTAACTGATTCATTGGCTTCATCAATGATAGAAGAATATGATAGAAGATTCCCATCATCTACAAGAAAAGCACCATTGCCACCATCTAAATTGAATAGAGAGAATACAGCAGAGGGAAACCCATTTGGTGATGCAAATGAAGTGGATGAAAGTGTTGAGTGGAAGTGATTATTACTAGTTTTTTTGTGCATTTTTTAGTTAATTGTGATATAACCTAGTTGTAGTATGACTTTATTTGAAAGAGCTAGATGCCATTCAATTCTTTGTACGTTATTGATGATGGTTCAATTGATCTACAAAAAGTGTTGAAGTAGTGGCCCTTGACGATTTTGTTTTTTTGATTGGCAGACTTTTTTTCTTTGATCTGAAAACAAGAATTTTGAGCTTTTGTGAGGAAGAAAACAGAGGAATTGTATCGTTATACAATCAATTGAGAGAGGAATAACTATAAGAATGGGTTACCAAGGTCATGGAGGCAGCAGGGGCGGCGGCAAAAGAGGTGGTGCGCGTGGTGGTTTCAACAACAGTCGTGGTGGATTTGGAGGAGGAGGTCGAGGAGGAGGTGGTGGTAGAGGAGGTCGAGGAGGCTCTAGTGCTGGTCGTCAAAGTCATGATTCAGGCTCAAGATCCAGCTATAGTGCCAACAACCAGCAGCAACAGTACTACGATCAAGGTGCTCAGCAATATAGTGATGGCAATGCTTATGGCGCTGAAGCCCAAGCACAACAAGATTATGCACAACAACAAGCTCAATATGATCAATATTACCAACAAGGACCACCTCCATCACAAGGTTCTTATCAAGATCAACCACCTTTTGACCCTAATGCTCCACCTGCTCAGCCATACTATGAGTACCCACCTCATGCTGATCCAAATGGAGTTCCACCAAATGGAGCTTATGAAATGCCACCACATGCTGACCCAAATGTTCCTTATAATGTTCCACCTGAAGCAACAGGAATCCCACCTCATGCCAACGGAGAAGGTGCTCCTCCAACAAGTGCAGGTGGTGTTCCAGGTGAAGAAGTTCCAGGTTCAGTAGCCACAGATCATAGTCAAATACCACCAGACCAAGCTGCTGGTGACATGAATGCTGGTTCATATGCTCAACATTTCCCAGGGTATCCATATGATCAATCAGGTGCATGGGTCGAAAGAGGATACCATGATGATATTGAGAAAAAACTTCAAACTTTAAAACAAAATTATGCAACTCAGACCAAGAAATATAACGATTTGAAAGAGAAATACAAATTGAGTAATGAAAATGCAGAAAAGAAGATAAAGTACCAAGCAGAAAAGATAAAGAAGTTAACAAATCTGACAAGTAAAACAGAAAAGATCACGGTACCTGACGGGGAAGGTGAAATTGAAGTTAATGCTGAAAACGTTAAATATTCAAACAAAGATGCCGTTAATAAAGATTCTGTCTTGAATGCACTAAAAGCAGAACGTGATGTTTATAAAGGGAGAACTGAAGCTTTGGCTAATGATTTGAAGAAAGCTCAACATGATAAAGTTGCAGCATTTGATGATGCTAAGAGTAAAGAAGATGAATTGAATGAATTTAAAGATAAATATTTGGAGCTGGAGAAGGAAAAACAAGAATTACAATCTAAATTAGATCTTTTGGAAAAAGAACCACCAAAATCTCCAGTTTTGAAAGCTATTGATGCTAATGGTGATACTAAAATGAATGGAGGTGACGATATTGACAATCCAAAAGACATCAAAGCATTATCTGAAAGAAAAGAATATTATAAGAATAAATATTTGAGATTGCTAGAAGAGAAAAATGCTGAGCAACAAGGATTCCTTCAAGTTAATAAAAGATTACTTGAACAATTCCTTTTCACTCCAAAACCTGCTGAAGCTTAGAAGAATGTGATGAATGAATATGTATATTACAAGTGGCTGAATATGTGTTTTATAGTTGATTTTGAATGCTTTGTTTTTTCTGATGTTTGACTCATTTAAGTAGGGCTAAAAATTAAGCCGATCTCTAACTATTAGCCTTGTCGCCTAACATGAAAATTGACTCTGATACTATTGAACCGAATTCAAGCACTTTTAAATGGCACAAAGCAATTACAAACAGCCATTTTAAGCTGGTTTGCAGTAGAAATCGAGAGCATTGTAAAGTCCGGTTGATTGTCTTTCGAGGAGTATCAAATTATCGGCAAAAAAAAACTTATATATAGGAATTGCTATCATCGAGAAATTGCCAAAATCCAAACTTTCTACACAATTCAGAGTATGTTCACTCAGTCAATTAGACAATTGAATACTTTAATTAGATCACCAATTGCTAACACTATCAGAACAATGGCTTCTTACAATCCAAAATCACTTACTTTCAATCACACTTGTCTTCGTGTCAAGGATCCAAAAGTCTCTGTTGAGTACTATACAAAGAACTTTGGTTTGAAATTGATTCATCATCAACAAATCCCAGAATCGAAATTTGATTTATATTTCCTTTCTCAAAATGATGAAGGTGGGTCCCCTTTTAACAGAGAAGGTGTTTTAGAATTGACCCATAATTATGGTACTGAAAATGATCCAAACTACAAAGTTAGCAACGGTAATGAAGAACCACATAGAGGATTTGGTCATATTTGTTTTTCAGTTGATAATATTCAAAAAGCTAGTGATGTTTTATTAGCCAATGGTGTTAAATTCCAAAAAAAATTGACTGATGGTAGACAAAAGGATATTGCTTTTGCATTGGATCCTGATGGATACTGGGTTGAATTGATTGAAAATGGGTTAGATAAGATTGAAAATGAAACTAACACCAATACTTATAAGTTCAATCATACCATGATCAGAGTTAAAGATCCTGTCAAATCTTTGAAATTTTATCGTGAAGTTCTTGGTTTCAAATTATTATCCACAAAAGAAGTTGAAGCTGCTAAATTTACTCTGTACTTTTTAGCTTATGATCACTCAGACTCATTCACTGAAAACTCATTGGAAAAACATGAACAATCAAAGAGGGAAAGTGTCTTGGAATTGACTCATAACTGGGGTACTGAAAATGATCCAAATTTCAAATATCACAATGGTAATGAACAACCTCAAGGTTATGGTCATATTGGTATCTCATTAGATAACCCAGGTGCATTCTGTAAAGAAATTGAATCTAAATATGGCGATGAAGTTACTTGGGGCTTGAAATTTAACCAAGGTAAAATGAAAAACATTGCTTTTATCAAAGATCCAGATAACTATGCCATTGAAATTTTACCAGCAGAATATAACTTTTGATTAGTATGCTACTTTGTTTATGTAAATGATTGTGATTTATTATATACTTGATTTCGTAAAAGTCATTATACTATGCCATGGATACCTATTTCTCAGGTTCGAACTTCAAAGCTATAGAATTAGCACAATGTCTCTCATCAGTAGGTGTATCATAACCTTCACCTTTGAACACATGACCTAAATGGCCACCACATTTAGCACACATCATTTCAGTTCTTGTCATTCCCAAGGTTTCATCGGTTTTGTAAACTAGAGAACCAGGGATTGCTTCATAAAAAGCTGGCCATCCACAATGGGCATCAAACTTTGTAGAGGATTTATAAATAGGATTTTGACAACCAGCACAATTGTATATACCATTTGCCTTTGTTTTCCAATATTCACCAGTTCCTGGTCTTTCTGTGCCTTTATTCCTCAAGATTTGAAATTGCTCTGGAGATAAGATGGCTCTCCATTCTTCATTGGATTTGTTTATTGGGAACTTTGACATTTTTTGAAGTAGTCTAAAAGTTTGTCTCATGAAACGGAATAATTTAAAACTAGCAAAATAAAGAGAATCAATTTTCGATGGCAATTTGCTAAATGATTTTGAAGTTATTAATTATGGCTTTGAAATCCAAGTCCGATTCGTGGTGTTTGGATGCAAAAGTGCTCGAGATTTTTTTCGCCAAAAAGTCAAAATACATCAACAATTAAAATCATTTTGAACAGTCAAACAGACTTTCAATCAAGATGAGTTCGAATAAAGAAGTGAAGGATTTTAGTGACTTTCCAGTATGTTTTGGATATTCTACTTTTCTTTTGAAGGAGTGAAAACTGACACAAACTAGACAACAATGAGTTGTACGGAAGCTTTTGATCAATTAGTTGCATGTTATTCACTTGGGGGTCAAATAAGACATTATTACAGATATGGAGAGATGAATGACTGTGTCAGTCAATTTTCTAAGTTTAAATTCTGTCTCACCAATAGTGATCCGGTTAAAATTCAACAATTTTACAAGGAAACTTTAGATAAAAAGAAAGATACAGGAAGTAGTGAAGATGTATGGGAACTAAGAAATTGAAACAAAAGGAGGAAGGATCATTGATTTCATAAAAGAAAAGACATTAGTACTAAAAACTTGTTTTAATTATGGCGTTGGGATTATGGGGTGTGCTTATTTATGTTTCCAGCATTCAAACCTATGTGTGGACCTTTTTTTGGTGAAGTATCAAATTATACGTAGTTTCGGGCCAGAAATTATGATGATCTCCTACAGACGTTTTAGCAGAAAATTGGTCAAAGCCTCAGAAGTTTGGAATATTCATGTGAATTACAATTTCAATGCCCCACCTTATGTATATAGAAAGTCATGAAATGTTACCATTCACTTCTCTCATGTACTACTCCAGCTATGATCTTACCATTTGTATATGAATTGGTTCATATTCCGTATACCATAAGCACTCATAGTCGTTGTTGTTTTTTCTTCTCGCTAATTAGTTCTTGCTCTTGGGTGTTGACTCATCAATCCATAGAACTTCTGTAAATTTCCAGTTAACATCAGAGCCAAAATCCCCTAAATATGAGCATCAACAAGGGAACATCATGCATACTGAGTATCTTAGCTAACTTTTCATAAAACTAGTGCAAAATGTGGCATTAATCAAAATTCGAAAGCAGACTGCCAGACTTTACTGGTCATTAAGAATTCTGTCAGCAAGATGTTCAAGTTGAAGAAATGTAGGTTGACTCCCTTATTTAAAGTATTTAAATAAAAGGCAACCTATTCTATTGATCAGACGATGAGTTAAATCAGTTTCTTTTCACTTATTTCCCACTTAATAATTTGAAGGCTTCCCTCAACCTGTCAAAACCAGGTAACATTCCAGAATTTCGCGAATCCTGAATTCACAACGTCAAAAGGAAGACATCAGCCTCTTTAGACGTACATTTCTACTAAACAATCAACTCAATCCTTATCAATATACAATGTCAGAAGAGGAATCAACAATAACGTCTGATTTCAGAGCGTCCAAAGATCTTACCGGCTCTTTTGTTGAGTGGGGGTTAGTTGAAATTGAAAATTGGCTAACTAGATTAGATTTCCATCATGAAGTTATCAAGAAATTCACTTTGAATAACATTACTGGTGATTTATTGCCATATTTAAAAGATAGCCATTTTGATGAGATGGAGCTGGAACTCAAAGACAAAATTAAACTGAAAATTGAAATAAACAAGTTATTATCCTCTCAAAATTATCTTGATCCTAATTCACTAGAGAGTATAAAATTGATCTTGACCAATATCAACAACCTAATACAATCAAATCTAGATTCATCAACAAGAACTTTAAATGATGAATTTTATAAACTAAGAGAAGATCTTGGAAGATTACAAAAACCATTACCAACACCAGATAAAAACCCATCATCACCTTTCAATTTATCAAGTCCAACTAAAAATTCTAAACCATCAACAGGAACAAATTCAAGTTTCACAATATCTTCTCCAAACGAACCTCACCAAAACTTACAAAGAAAACATAGTGAATCCAACAAACACTCGAAATCAAACAGAGGCTCTGCCCTTTTCTCTACAAATTCAAACCATGCTTCAAACTCATCATTAACATCAGTGCATTCACCAACAACTGCGGCAGCAACTTTACAGCCACAGGCTGCTAAACCTGTATCAGAACCTTTGAAGCAGCTGAGAGCATCTACTGATGATCCTTGCTCGAAGATTTTACAAGCAGCTATGAAGAGACATAAATTGAATGATGATTGGAGAAATTATGCCTTGGTTATATGTTATGGTGATCAAGAAAGAATACTAGATCTTGATGAAAAACCTGTTCAAATTTTTAAAGAATTGAGAGAAAATGGGAAACATCCTGCAATTATGTTGAGACAAAAAGCTGATTTTAGCGTGGAACCTGGTAAGAAATTGAGTGAAACACCGGGAGGAAAATTATGAAGAGTCTACATTATTTAAAAAAATCAAAAACATGTGTTATTTATTTAGTTTAATAACCTGTACAAAACTTTTTTTCCCTTCTCTCTTCCGTTAAAGCTCATCATGACCAACATCAGATTCTTTAGCAGCTTCTTCTTTAACTGGTTCAGCATCTTTAGTTAATTTGTTAGCATCAACTTTGAATGTACCTTGTTCTTTGATGAATGAAACTAAAGATTCTAAATCTCTTCCACCTTGATGAACAACTGGGTTTGATTTGTCACCAGCTGGGTATAAGATCAAAGTTGGATAACCAGAGATATCAACATCAACGTCATTTAAAGTAGCATCAACGTTAGCAATGACAACTTTATCTTTACCTTCTTTTGAAGCTTGGTATAAATCACCTAATTCTTCATAAGTTGGTGCTAATCTTTTACAATGACCACACCATGGAGCATAATATTTAACTAAGACATCTTTGGTTTCATCATTAACAATACTATCATGAGTTTTACCAACAATTTTCACAACTGAAGTTTCTTGTTTTGCTGGAATTTCTTCAGATTTAACTTTTGGTTCAATTTCACCCTTGGTGTATTTTTTCAAGAATTTTGGTAATTCTTTTGTAGTTAATTCTTGATCTTGTGGGAAACCATATTTCTTATTGTTGGCTAAATCATGAATGACAAATAATGGGAATTCTTGATCCATATTCAAATTTTCAGCATGACGACCATACTTAGAAGCATCAATACCAACAAAGTTTAGTTTACCTCTGTTTTCTTTGGCAGCTTCAACAATTGTCTTGGACCATTGTTCTCTTTCTTCTGGTGTGTTGTAAAACAAATAAGCTAATGGTAAGTTTGAAGAGACATATGATTGATAAGTTGAACCATCTAATTCACCAAAGAATGGTTTAGTTTCAACACTTAACCAGTCAACTAAATGTTCATAAGTTTCATCACCTTTGTAAACAATTGGTTCTTTTGAATCTTGTAAAAAGATTAATAATTTATCTTTACCATATTTTTTAGCATATTCTGGAGCTTTTGTTTGAACAAATGAGAAATCATCTCTGTGTAAATCAGCTAATTTGTAAAAAGTTTCATTTTGTTTGACACCAGTTTCAATAATGACAGCATTGGTGGCTTCGGTGACAAAATCATCTAAATCAGTGGAATCATCAATTAAGGAAACAGCTGGTAATGATTGTTTAATCATATAGTTGACAATACCATCAGCGGATCTTGGACCTTCATAGTCACTTGGTTCAGATTCACCTCTAAAGACTTTCAAAGTTGGATAACCTCTGATACCATGTTCTTGACATAATTCTTGTTCTTCTGTACAATCAATTTGGGCCAATTTGATATCTTTAGCTTCTAAAATGTCAGCAGCTTGAGAATATTGAGGTCCAAGAGCTTTACAATGACCACACCATGGAGCAAAGAATTCAGCTAAGACTAATGGGTTTTCAGTTAAGAATTTTGAGAAAGTTTCTGAAGTTAATTTAACAACAGCAGAATCTGGTGAGGCAATGGCATCTTCTTCAGCGCCAGCGGCAGAGGAGACAGCAACGACAGCCAATACGGAGGACAATGTCTTTAGGTTCAAGGCAGAGAAGAACTTCATCTTTGAGTTGGATTGATTCTTTATTGAAGTGATTGATGAAGGATCGTTGTTCAAAGATTTGTAATTTTGGTTTTCAATCGTTTTTTAACCCGATTTCAAAAGACACGTAGCACACACCGCGAATTGCCTAAGAAATTAGTAATGCGGGAGGAGTCGCCACTGGGGGTGAAATCAGTTGAAGAGTGAAGAAATTGGTGTATATTAAATGATATTATTGTTTTCACAAAGAATATCTATTTGGTAGTGCTTTTCCAGCTGAAATAAGTCAAAAAATGGTGAAGTTGTACGACTCTAACCAAAACAAAATGATTCTGCCCATAGTCACATGACCTTTCTCCATACAAAATCGGCAGCGTATAACTTGAAAGAATTCAGTTACACTTTAACCAACTTTGTCGAGATTAACAACAACAGGACGTTTATTCCACCTTAATGAGACCCACACTAGTGAATTTAGTGAAACCACGTCGTCCTGAAAGACCGGGCCAAGTCTTACTCCCACCGTTAACACTATACAGAAATATCCTTAGGGCTCATAAGAAATTACCAATAGCTCAAAGACAACTAGGTGATCTCTACGTGAAAGAGGAGTTCAAAGCTCACAAAACCACCGATAATCCTTTATATATCGTTGGTTTCTTGACTAGCTGGCAAGATTACTTGAATTTGATCACCAAGGGGAAATGGATGGAAAGTTCTTTGACTAGTGAACAATTATCCAAAATGAGTCCTGACCAAGTGAACCAAGTGAGTGCTATTTATTGATTCTTAAAATGATTCTATTTACTAACAACAGTTATTAGTTGTATGAGTTGATGAAAGAAACTCAAAACTATTACAAAGAGAATCCAAAAGAGGAAGATGATTGAAGAGAAGGAGGAGATATTGATAGAGAAACCACAATACTGTAAATAGTGAGCTTACCACCCAAACTAGAATTTGCATTGTATCATATAATAATCAAAGACTGAACAGCTTGAGTCAGTTAATTGTAATAAATGAGATAGTTGAAATATGAAAAATCATGACTAAAACACCATTTTTCCTCCCTTAAAAGCGTAATTTGAAACTCCACAACATAAGGACCATATATTCCAAGCAGGTTTACAATTCTAATAACCTTCTCTCTACTGTTTTAATTAACTTTGTCACCTCTCTTTTGAGCTCATCTCTTAAGTATGTGATGTCCGGATGTTTCTCATCACGCTTGAACCAGCGAGGCAAAAAAAAATTTAGAAGATGCATAAAGAACTGAAATCAATAAATCATCAACCAAAACTCTCAACATCACAGTGAAACTAAAGAATGAGTGAAGCTATAGAGGAAATCAAAGGGTTCCAAGTTGTTCCTTTACTTTTGCAACCTTCAAAACTCTTGAAGAACCAATCTATCAAACATTACATTTACGTCAAAAAGCATCAATCCAATACAGACAAAGAATTAGCAGAAAGATCATTATTTTTAATAAATCCACCAATTAATTCAACTTTATCAAATATTAAAAATTTTTTCAAAAAAATTTCACAATCAAGTATTATTGAAAATTTCTTTCTTAATGTTGAAAATTTGGATTATGAAATAAATTTAACAAAATTAACAACTGATTTATATGATCAAGATGAAAAAAATTTACAAGAAGGTATAAAACTACCGAATGGAACTGGACTAGTTGTATTTGTGGATAAAGCTGCTGCCAATTTAGCCTTTTCCAAAATAAAGAAATATGTCAAGAATAGTCATAAAGATTTATATCAATGGAATTTTAATGAAGATCAACCTGCATCTATAAGGTTTACAAAAGCTTATCAAAACGATATTTTACCAGCTGAAGAGACATCAGAAGCCGTGGCACAAGCATTAGAGGATTTTGAAAAACGTGAAGCGGATTCAATCAGTCAATTAGAGGAGATGAAGACATTAGTTGATGAAGATGGGTTTACTATGGTTGTTGGTAAGAATAGAAAGACAAAGAAAGGTATACTGGGTAAGATTGATAGTGTTAATAAAGTGGTTAAAGATAAGAATGAAGTGAAGTCTAAAAAGAAGGAGAAGGAAGATTTCTATAGATTCCAAATTAGAGAACGTAAGAAGTTGGAAATGAATGAATTAGTTAAGAAATTTAGACAGGATCAAGAAAGAATTAAAGAGTTGAAAGAAAAGAAAAGATTTAGACCATATTAATCATTGCATAGTTGAAGTAAATATACACCTACATTTAATTTTTAATCTGATTGTTTATTTTTTTGGTAGAGTTCATTTCTTTGGTGGAGGAGGTAAAGCTGCATCTGTTTCATGAGATGGTCTTCCTTGATTATCCAATTCCCTACTCTTTTCACCTTCCTCTTGTAAATAATCCAATAAATCTGATTTCACTGCCCCTTGTTTCTTCTTTCTACCGTGGATTGGTGGTGGAGCACCTGCAGATAAAGGTGAAGGAGTACTGACTGAACCTTGTTTTGAAGTTGGAGGTGGTGGGATAGAGGCAACAGGAGGTAACGGATTCACTGGATTAAAACTTTCTTGACTCAAATTATGTGATGGGGAGAAATTTGGTGTATAATTTGGAGTCATATTATCATCAAATAAGATTGAACCAGGCTCAAAATTTAAAATTGCTTGAGGTAATCTGTGTAAAAATCCATAACCAACTCCACATCCCAATAAGCCAGCTCCACCCCAGTTTTCAAAAGGTTGAATAGTAACAGGTCTAACAACATCGTAATCATGGTTATAGACGTATAGGATCAATGATTGATTCTTCTTTGATGTAATCAAACGTCCCAATAAATCTTCACCACCAGTGGCTAATAATCCATCTTGAGCACCAATGATATAATCTGAATGTTCAATTAAGCCAGCTCTTTCTGCTGGTGAATTTGGATGTATCTCCAAGACGTGATAAACAAAAGTTGCAGTGATTAATGGGGTCCATTGTATCGATACACCAATTTTTTCAAAACTTTGTTGAATAATATTATTTGGTTTTTGATCTATTGGGATATCATCCAAATTGCTTGAACTTGATAACTCTTTAATATTAACTTCAATGTTTTTCAAAACACCACCTTTAGCATTCCAAACTTCAAATATAACAGATCTGTTTTTACAATTTTCAATTTCTTTGATTAGGTATTCATAATTTGGAACCAATTGCTGTTGTTCATTATAACCAGTCGGTATTTCATGACCATTTATACCAATGATGTAATCAAACCAACTTTCAAATTTCAATTCAGATGCTTTTGATTCAGGTTTAACTGAAATAACTCTTAGCCCATATTTATTGAATTTTGTATTACTGAAGTAGGCATCATTTTCTAATATGGATTCATCATTAGCACCGCCACTTATTATAGTTTCAGCGGATTGTTCAATTGATTTAACGAATTTCTGAGCAAATGCAAACATTTTCTAAAGTGATGATCTTTTCAATGTTGTATGGATTCGATTGATGAGTTTGTTGTTGTCGACATTAATTTTGGGATTGACAATTGAACGAAATGATTTTACAGAACGGATTCGCGAACTTCAAGTGTAAATTTTCGCGAATGTCTTTTCGAGATAATTTGAGAGGAACTTTGCAAGTTTCAACATTAGATTCATCTTGATGACAAGTTTCGAGCCAGGATGCTCAAGATTTAGTGGTTGGGGCCTTAATATGAGGATATGAACTTGTTTCAAAAGCCGTGTGCTGAACTAACTTGATAATTAATTGGCCATGAACGTTCACATCTTGCAGGATCAGATCAATATAGATATACAATATATATATGGACCATTCTCATTATAACAGGGCTTGTTGTCAGGTCGCCAGTTAATTATAATACAATCTATAGGAATCTGGTATGGCTTGATGTGAAAAGCTTTGATTCACCATAGCTACTAGACAAATAGTTTTTCCAGGGAACCAGCAAACCAGACAAACGTTGAACCTAAAGTTTCGTACCATCAGTTCCACACATCAACCACCTCGTTGGTGTATGTTTGCAGGCTAAATTCGAAACCGTTGTTCATTTTCGAAGCTATACAGATCAGTTAAACACATGATTTTACATTGTTCCGTACTGCACTTGAGGAAAGATTCTCCGTGGGGTCCCCAGAGTTCAAAGTCTCATCATGAGCTACACTCAACTCAGCTCATTTCTAGTACCATACCCCAGGATAGACTTCAGGACAAATGAGAATTTTTCATCTGTAACTGGAGTAGCTCATGTACAGTGTTTTTCCAATTAGCTGAATGACTTGAAAGTTATAGCTAGGATGATGATACTGTTTGGTTTGATTTGTTGCTGTGTTATAGCTTGTAGTTCTGATGGTGATCCACTAAAGTTTCAAGAAATCTATTCACTCTTGCTTGTAGAAGAACCATGAGCACTACAAGATCTAGCACTCCGAGCCTACAGTTCTACTGCACTCCGCTTGCCATGAGGTAATGAATTACAAGAGCCAGCGTAGTAAATTCTGGAGTCTTCTGAGCCCAATGTCATCACCAGTTGTTTGAGCTCAGGAGATTTCATGTCCAGAGGTTTTTCCGAATGGGACAAACAACGGTGAACGTTACAATGAACATGAACAATTACATGAACATGCTCAGTTCATGCTATCAATTCATGGATCACGGATGATTGATTCTACTCGGTAGAATCGACTTTACAGCTGGCTATTATCTCGTAGACCCAAAGTACGCTGAACATGAGTTCAATATTATTATTCCTCAATACCATCAACCTGCTTAATGATAAACTTCTCACTTCTCACCTTTAACGAGATCTTAGTACAGAGAAGATATCAAATATGATCTCAGTTCAAATGACACACCAAATTTCACAACTTCAAGCTAAACTACGTCAATTTTTAGCACCAAAATCTCATTTTTTGTCCACAACAGCACACTGAAACTTTTCCGGACACGAGACATTTCTGTCTTTTCTCCTCGAGACCCCAAAGAACAAGTATTTAAAAGTCAGATTGTTCCTCATTTTCACTCTTGTTTTCAATTCTTAACCCAATTCAAACAAATAACAATCTTATTACATCTCACATATATCTTACAAGATGAGTTCATCAAAACAATTGAAAGAAGAAGTTGACAAAATTGTCAAAGATTTCACCGTTGATGAAACATTGCTAAAAACTTTGACCGACTACTTTATTGAAAGTATGGATGCTGGTTTATCTCACAAGAGTGAAGAAAAATCAAAAGGTTTACCAATGATTCCAACTTATGTCACCAGAATCCCAACTGGTAGAGAACATGGTACCTTTTTAGCTGCTGATTTAGGTGGTACCAACTTCAGAGTTTGTTCTGTTGATTTGCATGGTGATTCAACTTTTGCTTTAGAACAATCAAAGGCTAAAATCCCTGAAGATTTGTTGGATGGTACTTCTGAAGAATTATTTACTTATTTAGCCAAGAAGGTTAAACAATTTGTTGAGAGACATCATGCTGATAAAGTTTCAACTGATTCTGAAAAACATTTGAAATTGGGTTTTACTTTCTCATACCCAGTTAATCAAACTGCTTTAGATGCTGGTACTTTGATTAGGTGGACTAAAGGTTTCAAGATTCAAGATGTTGTTGGTAAAGACGTTGTCCAAGCTTTGCAAACCGAATTGGATAAACAAAGTGTCCCAGTTAAGGTTGTTGCATTGGCTAATGATACCGTTGGTACTTTATTAAGTCATGCTTATGCTACTGGTGCTTCTCCAAATGGTAAACAAGGTGATACTGTTATTGGAGCGATATTTGGAACTGGAACAAACGGAACCGCTACATTTCCATTAGAAGATATTCATAAATTAGACCCTGAATTGGTTAAAGAATTGAAGGCTAATGGTGAAACCCATATGATTATTAACACTGAATGGGGTTCATTTGATAATGATTTAAAACATTTACCAAACACCATCTATGATCAAAGAATTGACGAGGTTTCCACAAACCCAGGTTATCATATGTTTGAAAAGAGAGTCTCAGGTATGTTTATGGGTGAAATTTTAAGACAAGTTTTGGTTGAATTACACTCTAAAGGTGTCATGCTCCAACAATACCCAACACCTGAAAGATTACCACACAGATTAAGAACCCCATTTGAATTGGATTCTGAAGTTTTATCACATATTGAAATTGATGATTCCTCTCACTTGAAGGAGACTGAATTGTCTTTATTACAATCTTTAAGATTACCAACCATTGAAGAAGAACGTACAGCTATTCAACAAATTGTTCGTGCCATTTCAAGAAGATCTGCTTACTTGGCTGCTGTCCCAATTGCTGCTATCTTGATTAGAACTAATGCCTTAGAAGGTTACCACAAGGAGGTTGAAATTGGTGTTGATGGTTCAGTTATTGAATTTTACCCAGGTTTCAGATCAATGGTTAGACACGCTTTAGCTTTATCTCCAATTGGCCCAGATGGTGAAAGAAAAGTTCATATCTGTATTGCTAAAGATGGTTCAGGTGTTGGTGCTGCTTTATGTGCTAGTACCACCAACTAGATGAATCTTATTTATAATAATGACTGTTTTTAATTAACTCTTTTAATGTTTTGTGTTTTGTCCATATTTGCTGGTCTCATTATGTCATTCATTACCCATTTGTATTTTTGAGTCAAACCTTTTAACTAGTATACCATTTGAATGAATAATTAGAATTGTTTGAATTTGTTGTAGAATCAGCTTGTTTCCACATTGGGCAATCTAGCGTGCTTATCATACTGTGTCGCGAACCGCCAAAACCACATTAGAGAACAAAAAAGTGACAACATCAACTTTTTTGACCCTTTAAAAACCAATTGAATTAAGATTGTTGTTTGCCTATTTAATTACCAATTCACTTGAAATATCATATCTTCTTTACTAGAACTCATACAAACGAGAATTGACCAATAGGTGGTATTCTTTTAGCAACCTTTTTTTGCCTCAAATTTCAATCAAAAAACCACCTTATTAAAAAAAGAATCCATTCATATTTAACAAGACACATTACCGCCACATTGACTTTCAACACTAAACACCCTCAAGAGTCTATTGAGAAAAGTGAAACCAAGAAAAGAAGAACAATGGCTCCAATTCATGACCTTATTGATTCCAATGGGACTTCAGCAACTTCAAGTAATTCTGCTGCAACTTTCAATGCTGAATCGATAAATCAGTTGTTTCCGGAAATTGATAAGAATGAACTCACAAGGTTAATCATCCAGTCATTATCGGATTTGGGGTTTGAGAAATCATCACAAACGTTGAAGGCTGAAAGTGGGTTAGAACTGGATTCTCCTATTATAAATAACTTTATTGCATACATCAAAGATGGTGATTTTCAACAAGCTGAGGAGATTATTGATGATTTGAACCTAGTTGATGATTCTCCTGGTGTTAAGAAAAAGATCAAGTTTTTAATAAAGAGAGAAAAGTTTTTAGAATGCTTGTATTCTGAGACTTCTGGTCATATTGCATTGAAAATATTAAGAAATGAAATTGGAACTTTAACAACCATAAATAACATTAGATCATTGACTGCATTATTAATGAACAAAGAATCCGAACAATTGCAAAAAGTTAACGGGTGGTTACAATCAGTGGAAAATTCAAGAATACTGTTACTAAATGAAATTTCCAGATATATCAATCCTAATGAAATGATTCCAAAATTTAGATTGTTCAAATTACTACAACAATCAATCACACATCAAAGGTCATTAAATCTTTATCAATTTGGTGAAGAACACACACATGTCTCACTATACGAAGACTTAAAATCTGATAAATCAAACTTCCCAGATACAATTGTAAAGACATTAACAGATCATAAAGATGAAGTTTGGTATGTCCAATTCAGTCATGATGGTACTAAACTAGTTACAACTTCAGCTGATCATCAAATCCATGTTTATGACGTTACACAAGATTTCAAAAAGATACACACTTTATCAGGTCACGAGAAACAAGTGATGTATGCTAGTTTCAGTCCTGATGATAAAAGACTACTTACATGTTCTATTGAATCAAAAGCTCGTATTTGGAATCTAGAGACTGGCGAAGCTGAGCAAGTGATTTCATTGATGGGTGATTCCCGTATTTGGTGTGGTGATTGGTATCCGAATGGTGAATGTTTTGTTCTCGGGTCTCCTGATAAAGAAATAATATTGTATGATGCTAATACAGGTCAACAGCTTCATAAATGGGAAGGTCCGATAATTAATGATTTGAAAATTTCTTCAAATTGTAAATTGATTGCTGCAACTTATGAAAAAAACATTGAAGTTTGGGATTTAAACACTAAGGAGAAACTGAAAACTATTGAAATTGGCGAAAGAATTACAAGTTTATCAGTTTCTCATAGAAATCCAAACCATATCCTGATTAATGTCAGTCCTAATGAATTACAAATTTGGGATTGGACTAGGAGTTTATTATTGACAAAGTTTGTTGGGCATAAACAAGAAAAATACATTATAAGGTCTTGTTATGGATATGATGAAAATTTGGTTTGCTCTGGTAGTGAAGATGGTCGTGTTTTTGTTTGGAATAGGGAGTTTGGTGCCTTATTGGGGGCATTTGATGCTCATAAGGGCAATACAAATTGTGTCACTTGGAACCCAAAAATTAAAACAATGTTTGTAACTTGCGGTGATGATTTTATAGTAAGAATTTGGGGTCCATCTCCAAAGAAACTTGCGCCCTAAAGTAATCATTGAGACAGGCTACGAATAGTTGTTTAGTTTTAATGTCATGTAAATTTTTTTTAAACTGTATGATCTGTAATGATATCGGGAAGGCCTTCATCATCCACATGTTCTAACTCTTGAGCTTCTCTTTTACCTCTTTCAACATCTAGTAATGCATAAATTGGCAACGCAAGCAGCAAAAGCACAAACAAGAAGTAGAAAGTATACCGTATGTTGTGTGTTCTATCTGTGATCAACGCCGTTACTGTTGGACCTATAATGGAACTTCCTTTATCTGTAACTGAAAACAAACTAAAAAATGTGGATTCTTTACCCTTTGGGATCAACAAACTGAATAACGATCTACTTATAGTTGCTAATCCACCTAATGCAAACCCATACCAAACAGCCAACAAGTACATTTCAAAATCATGTTTCAATCCAACAACATTGAAGTAAAATCCCAAAATACCATAAAAGGGGATGACTGAGGCCCATATAATTATAGCCATTAAGGAAACTTTAGGTGTAACTTTGAAATATGATTGTAATTGAGGTACAACCATTGATCCAAAGATTGCAAACAAAACAGAAAGAATACCAACGACAACCAACTTTGGTGTTGACATTTGTAACTCAGATCTTGCAAATAGCACGGCAGCTGAATTTATAGTGGTAATAGAGTCTGAAACAATAAACCAACCAAATAAGTAAGTTGCAACGTCCTTTAATGTAGATGCATGTTTGATTGAAATGAATAATGTTTTCCAACCATATTTAACATATTGTAAGATTGCATTTTGATCTTTATGAATTGCTAAAGGTGGCCCAGATCTTGATTTAAGTAAGAAGATTAGTGGCAGTTGAAATACTAACCACCATACCCCAACAAAGAAAATAGCATACTGAATGGAATGTGTAGAGGAACCAGTCTTGATCACCAAAAACATTGAGAGAACTTGCACGATTAAAGCAGATATATAACCTGATGCAGCTCCCATACCACTAATCTTTGTTATCAAGTTGCCTCTTTTGAGTGTCTCCTCCTTATGATCACCATCTTCTTCATGATGATGAGAAGCTTCTTGAACTTCTCTAGTATTGGCCACAAGAATAGGCAAGAACGAATTCCCACAAACATTGACAGCACCAAAACAACTATTGGCAATGATGGCCAGTAAAGATGCAATGTAGTATCTTGAACTTGTTATTGGGAAATACATGATTGTTGCAACAGCACCTATCAAGCCAAATGTAATCAATAATTGTTTCCTATAATGCCCTCTATCAGCTGCACCTGACATGGAAATAACAGTAAGAGTCTGAATAAGCACTGAAACTGAGAACGTATATAGAGCAAATGAAGAAGTATCAATATAACTACCTAAAACGTAAACCACACATTTAACTTGTTCTTGAACTGCACCAACATCATGAGTATCCCTTGTGAATAATCTAGCAACTGGATCACCCAAACCAGGATTAGTGCCATTTGATGGCGGTGGTAGTATTGGGAGCACCACTGGGTTCTCTGTCAGACAAGGAATCAAATGGTTATCCAATCTAACACCATTTTCTCTTGCAAACTGTTCCAATAAGAGCGGTACATACGTTGAAACCGCAGATACAATGAACGGTTCAGCAGCCCATGAATATAAACACCAACCAAAGATCTCCGTTTTCGTGGTAAACCCTTCATTTAATTTTGTGAAGGCGATTGATTCTTCAGTTTGTTCAATATCATTAGAAAGTAATTGCTCTGTTTGTTCAGAAGTATCTTGTTGCGTAGAGCTCGATGCCCTTGACCCTATTCTTATATTACCTTGTTCGCCAGTGAGCTTTGCCCAAGTGTCCTTCATAAAATCAGTCATACTCTTGCCTTAACCATCTAGTACACACCAATTGGTAACAAGAATGCAATCTTTCAAACTGCAATTTACTTCTTGTTGTTTAAACTAAAATTTCTGTCTATTAATTCGAAATTCAATCTGGCTCACGTGTGCTGGCCCTTATCAACTTTCATCAATTCGCGAAATGATTACATAAGAAACAATCACTTACATAATCATAATACCCATTTTTTAGCCTCGGCCGGTGTCTGGATGAGCTTCTCCAAAGTTTTGACAGCTTTTTAGATGATCAAAAAATTTAACCATGTCAACGTCGTTTTGACAAGTTTAAGTTCGATTAGTTATCAATCAACCTCACCAAAGAGACTGGAAATCAAGTAGCAAAATGGTGTTGAATTTAGACGCTCTAGTGAGAAACCCTGCTAATAGGGAATTCTTCCAGATAATCAAGTCCATGAGAAATGGTATTGTTTATGGTGGTAGATTGAGGTTTGCACACGCTTTAGTTATTCAATTGTTATTCAGAAGATCAGTACCTCTAGAGAAAAGATTGAAGTTGGTATTTAGGCAAGCTAAAGATCATGGTAGTATTCTTGCATCATTTGCTCTGATATACAAGCTTTTGATGATGTCCTTGAAGAAATTGAACGGTGGTGCTCCAATTAATGAATTCATTTCAGGGTTCATTGGTGCTTTGATAGTCTATGGAAATAGAACTCCATACTTTAACCATTCAATTGCACACCAAATAACATTGTATTGTGCAGCTAGAGTGTTACTAGGACTTGGGAAGATGTTGGCTTTCAAAATTGCCAAATATTTGAAAGAGGAGCATGGATTCCATAATAAGAAACATATCAGACATGCAATTGGAACCAATACCTGGACACTATTTGCAAGTGTTTCTTGGGGGCTTGTCATGTATTTGCATCGCTATTATCCATCATTCTTACAACATAGTTTAGAATCAAGTATGGTTTATATCTATGATGATTTCAAATGGGATGATCTCAAATCACTCTTGGGTATTTAAATATCCATCAATTAATTCCAATCAATATTCTAATGATCTGTTCTATATGTTGCTTGCAGTTTGATAGTTTGCTTTCACTTAGAGATTATATTAATGATACAATGCCATGATGTTATTTATTATATTTATTCAATTCCCAATTTCCTGAAGTTTCCATGAGAACTCTTCTTCTTTACATAAATGTACAAAAAACAACAAAAAAATAACTATACCACTTGCAAATGAAAATGATATGATTGAAATGATTATTTGACAAATTATTGTAAATTTGAAATGACTTTTTTTCCTTTTTTTTCTTTCTCAATATAATAAAACTCCTCTTTCCTATAATGATTATGACAAAACTAATAGAACAATATACAGAATACTTTTTTTTTGCTTTTTTTTATAATTAAATGACTTTTAAAATCAACTTTTTTGATCAATTTTTTTTTGGATTATGGTATAAATGACATGGACATATTCAACATGATAATCGTGATTTTCAAAATGAGTTCCTCATAATGAAATAAACTCAACATATATGTATAGATAGAATGAAAACCCCTTACTATGAACAAGTTGGTGGATATGGATGATTTGGTGGACAATGCTAATAAATGAAATGAAATGGATGTTAAAAAAAGACTTGAAAACAATGATTCAGAATTGTTTTTTGCTTTCTCTCGTAAAACGGGCATAAAAAAACATGAGTAACTGTTATGATTCTTCAGCACTCGAAAAACATCTAAATCAGCTCTAGTTGGCTGAAACTTCTTCTGGAGCAGCAGTAACAGGTGTAGCTTCAGTTGATTCTTCTTGAGTAGGTTCTTCAGGTGAAGCAGCAGTAGTAGCTTCTTTAACATCTGGCTGAATAACATTAACAGGTTCACTTTCATCTTGACCATTAGCTTCTCTTTGTTCAACTGGTAAAACCCAATTGTTGTAGTTTTCTTTAACTCTAACTTTCAAAGTATTATTACTGAATTCAGCCAATTCTAATAACTCACCATTTAATTCATCAATGGCTTTTCTAATCAAACCAAAATCACCAGCACTCAAGACTGACATTCTGTAAAAACTTGAAATAACAGTCAAATCTAACCAACCTTCACTATTCATTTGTTTTCTTAAAAAGATATCCTTCAACAAGTTTTCAATGGAGAAATAATATTCAATTTGTTTTATCAATGAGAATAATGGTTCTGAACTCTTGTTCAAATGTGCGATATTACGACGATTGAATGGAGCACTGTTGAAGTTATTGTTGTGATGACGGTATTGATTGTTGTAACCATTGTTTTGATATTTGTTGAAACGTCTGTTGTTGGAATATGGACGGAAAGGACGAGTACCAGTTTGACCTGGGAAGGCACCTTGGACTGGGAATGGTTGGAATGGGATAAACTGTTGGAATTGGTTATTTTGGTAACGCATACTGCTGTTACTATGGTGGTTATGTGAATTGTGGTGATTGGATGCTTGATGATTGGCGTGGTGTGAGTTATGAGAATGGGTTTGAGTGTTTTCAGATGAGGTTGATTCAGGTTTTGGAGCAGTGGCTTGTGGTTTTGATGATGATTGTTCAGGCTGTTGCTCAGACTTTCCTTCAGCTTTTGATTCAGCTTTTGGAGCTTCTTTAGTTTCAGCTGGTGTAGTTGAAGCAGTTGGACGTTTTTCAGTTTTGTTTTTTCTCTTTTTAGAATCATTATGAACTTGTTTGTTGTTATTACTCAAGACATTATTGTTCTTGTTTGAGTTTCTCTTTTGACCATGGTTGTTAGATTTCTTTGAACCAGGTTGAGGTAAAACAACTGAAGCTTTGAAAGGGACCCATTTTTCTTTAGAAGATTTAACAGCACTTATCTTTTTGCTTGAAGCGGAACCATTGACTTGTGGTTGTTCATGTGGTGATGGCCAATGCTTGGTATCAACAGAGCTGACATTGGAGTTCGATCTAGAAGATGCAGCAGAACCCCATGCACTAACACTTGGAACAGGAGCAGGAGCTAGATTTTGTTCTTTTTGCTTCTTTTCAGCTTTTGGAGAAGGGTTTGGTGAAGGTAATTGTGTTTGAACCTTGGAATCTTCGTTTTCACCATCAACTTTTGAATCGAGATCCATTGGTTCTGGTGTGCTTTCAACTTCAGTTTGTGTGTTAGCAACTGATTTGGACTCTTCAGCAGCGGAAACTGGAGTGGTTGAGCCAGTGGCGACAACGTCTGCGTATGAATTGGCTGACATCTTTAACTAATGACGTCTAGTTTGGAAATAAGTAAATATTTCTGATGAATTCAAAGTAGGTGTATGAATGGAAATTTGCTTCAAATGTGACTTGTGAAAATCTTTTTTGAAGACTATGAATAACCAAAATAGCTTAAAATGAACTTAATTGTATGGTTGGAATGAAACCTCAACAAGTATAAAAGAAGCTGGGTATATGAACGTTAACGAATCTGGGAAAACCGTTAAAGTACTAATTTGGACTTGACCTATGAATGAGACTAGAAATGAGTCTTTCTGGATTGTTCAAGAACTGATATGTATGATGAGAAGTGTACTGGTGACTTCTTTTGATCCTGAGCTGGTTTACTTTGCAAGTTTTTTTTGCTTTCGAAGGACTGGTTGAAAGTTGGTATAGGTAAAAAGTGAAAAATTACCAAAAAAATGTTTGTACCAATAAAAAAAAAAAAAAAAAAAATAGGTGGTGCTGCTCATACCGGGAAATGATCTTAAAAGTCGGAGCGATCCAACAAAAAAGTTGAATTTTGTGCAAAGTTTTAAAGAAAGAAATGTGTGTGATAATATGAATTTGCAGGGAAATTTGGTTTAAAAGATTAATAGCTGAAGCTCTTCGTAAGGTCTGGTTTCTGGCGTTCAAAGTTGAGGATCTGGATACTATTAAAAATTTTTCATTTGCGGTGTTAGGATGTTGAACCGTTATTTGGTGCCTCGCCTAACAAAAGTCTGAATAAACAAACGCGTAAAGTTTTTACGTGTATATCGGGAAATTTTGGAGAGAATTAGCCATTATTTCGTATGAATCGAATTCAAGGCTTCAAGTGAATTCAGCTCTAGAATTAATAAGTGGTATTTAATATGAGTTAAGAATGAATAGAGGAGTTACAGAGGCCATGATTACAGAAAAGTTATTACATTGGTGTTGATGAACAAGAAAGTCCAACTTCAACTCTTGAGTTATACTAACCTGACCTTTATTCACCAGCTAATTGCAGAAATGCTGTAACTATAATGAATTCAAACTCAACTGTCCAAAAGAACGAGATACTCTATTGATCTCTAGACATGATCGTCAAATCACTAGAGCTTGTAATATTACGTTTCCCTTTTGAAATTTGTTGACATTTCTAGCCTTCCAAGGAGACTGTTGCGACTTATAATCGTCTAATAATCAGTAAGTTTAGTATTTCAACGTTTCGATTCAACTTCAATATATTGATGTTTCGGCCGATAAAGGGCTAGCTTTTTGTGCTGGACTAACCGTTAGCGAAATCTGTCTCGCGAGATTCATGATGAGGAAGAAACCCTTTGCAACTTCCAACCACTTGAACATTAACTCAGAGTTCAAAGCTCAAGCCTAGGACACAGACCATGCTCAAGAATATCACACATCAAATACGGCATTTCCCAAGAGCAGAATGTCAAACCAACAAGAATAGTCTTTGCAGCGAGCTAAACACTTTATCAACACTCATTTCTAAACAATTACATTCTTCAGCCATTAATGCATCATCACCAAAAGGGGAAAAGATTCTTCAAGCAATTTTTGCTCCAAAACGTCAGTTACGCTCGAAACTTCCATTCAAATTCCCAACAAAGCTGAGTTTAAGAAAGGAAAAGCCAGTGTATGTGACCAGAAGTCTTTATAATGACACTAAAACTGAGGAATGGGTTTGTCATGATAGAAGTCTACCAATTGAGTTTTCAGTGAAAAAAGGCCCCAAGTATACTGAAGTTACACAGACAAAAATCACGAATCAATCAGGACCAATCGTTTCACTGCGAGGATATGGAATAATTGGAGAACGCACTGTTGAGGGAAAGCTTATCACTAAAAGCAGACATTATGATGATGGTAGATTCACAAGAAGTATTGTAAGAAAAGTCAGAAAGGTTAACAAATATGATGATGGTGCTGTGTTTACAGAAGAGCGTACTGAAACATGTGTTCCAGATACAGATCCCAATGCACCACCAGGAGCGCTCATCCAAACAGGAGAACTTGTTAAAGAACGCAGTGCACCATTTAAACTGAAAGGTGACCTTTACGATAATAGCTGCAACAACTTTTTGCAGATTTCTTCACTTGAAGCTTCGAAAATAAAGTAGTTTTGACCTGTCACATTTTTTTGTAGTCATGTTTCGCGACCAAACAAAAACAAAAATATCAATCGACCGATTATTCAAAGAGTCTTTTGACCATGCTCATTGTTCACCAACTGCTGTGTTTGTGCCTGAGATACTCAAGAATCACAGAGGTCTAGCAGATTCGGTGAGGTGCTCAGTATTGTTTTCGTTGCTGGTGAAATAGACTCATCATGAGTAGGTGTCGCACTAAGTTGTTTCTTCTACAAAAGGTTCAATATTACAACATAAGGACATATACATCCACAACTGCTAGTCGAAAAGGGCCAACAGAGAAAGTCCAATCACATAGACTTCATTGTTTCACTCGAAATAGCTCATCATCATTACCAGACCAATACGAACCCAATTATGATGCAAAAGAAGAGGACTTAAACGCAAGTGTTGAACGAGAAGCCAGAAAGGTGATCAAGAAGGAAAAGAAACAAGGTTCACAACCAAGGACTGGCACCTATAGGCTATTTGCAAAAGATGGTTGCAAAAGAAAAGAATTCACATTCACAAACGTTAAAGAGGAGCGGTCAAATGCTGAAGTAGACTTAAAAGTCTCTAAAAGAACATCAAAGATAAAAACATCGACTTGGCCATCAAGACTGACAGAATTTACGACGATTAAGAAACCATTGGTTAACACAAATTTTACCTCTACTCATAAATATGATGCCTACAGCAAGTCATACAAAACTAATACAACCATTCCTACCCGGTCAAGCAGGTCTCAATTTCGAAAAAGAGAAGACTGCTCTGGTAATTTTTTTGAAATACTCAAGAGTCATGAAATGGAATATAAACCTTATCACCAATCGGATACAGATATAAAGTTTATTGACAATGGATATAAGTTATACTGGAATGAAGCTAATGTTATACAGTTGGCGAAAGAAGACCGCATCAAAATTTCTTCAGGCGAGACTGTGATGGAAAGCTCCGAAGAAAGTCCTTCTCCAAGCATTGAAGCTGCTTCTATGGTGAAGGTTGCACCAACAACTGTGAGGTTGGTGAGTGCACTTAAAAGTGATCTTTTGGACACTCCAATGCTAAAATGTTCCAAACAAATGATTGATAGAAGAAAAAAAAAGGTTCACAAATATTTGAAAAAGGTCAAATCAGAAAGGATGAATCACCCTATTTTATCTAATGACACTGTCTTCAACTATGTCTCTGATGTGATTAAAACAGTCAACTCTCAAAACGCTCTATTCTTTTCAATTGATTGTGAATTCACAACGGATGGTAAAATACCTAAAGAGATTGGGATTTCAATCTTTGATTCTAGAAAACAACATCTTTCAGTATTCCCACATTTCAAGAATATTCATGTTATTGTGAAGGAGCATTATGATGAAGAGAAAAGATCAGCACAAACATTTCTTGGTGGAAGCTCAATTATTTTAACAGAAACAGAAACCATCCATTTTTTGCAAACCTTAATTGATGCATTTTTCCCAGAAGACATCAATGAGCTGAATGGCTCTATCCCTGCAGCATTCGTTTTCCAAAGTTATGCAACGGATTTGAAAGGACTTCATAACTTGGGTGTCAAATTCCCCAAGAAATTTATGGTGATGGATACATTTTATCTTTATTGTGCTACCCATGGGTCCAAACTTGAGACCAGTACCTTGGCTGGTATGCTGAATAGATTTAATATTCCTCACAGTTATCTACACAACGCAGGAAATGATGCATATTACACCATGTTGTTGCTTTTGAAATTGGCCAATCCAAACTTCAGAATTCAAAATGGTATCGATAACTACATGAATGAATTGAAATATGAGCATGATTGGAGATATGATCTTTACCAAAAGGACGATAAAAGAAAGTTTCTTGACACTTTTAAAGATCGGGATATCGATCAATGGAACATTTATGAGTTTTCTGTTCCGAAAGTCAGACAGAACTCTAAAGCGACTCTTAGAACTGTATATGGAACTAGATACAAATACAATAGAGACGACAAATAAAATGATAATCGTAATGATAGGAGCTCAAAATTCAGCTGGTTTGAAGTTTGAAGCCAATTTGTAGAAAGGATCAAATTCGCGAAAGTTTGTTGATCACAAAAAAAAATGCAGTTGATGGACATTTTAAAATATATCGCTTCAGATCATAAAGAACAGAGTTTTCAGTTTGGAGTTTGATTACATCTATATAAAAGGTTTTGGTGAACTTAAACGCGTTGAATCATTATTTATTTTGTTGGTGTTCCTAGCTCTTTTACTCATCAACCATACACTCTCCAAATCGTTTCAAGTTGATCTCATCACTTTTAAAAGCTTCAAACCTTCGAAAGGTTCCATCCTTTCCAACCTTCCATAACCACAGATTTCCATTATCCACATTTCAACTGAAAAGATTATATAGCGAAGCTATACCAAGCGCCAAACCAGACATCACTGCTACTGTCAAAGAAACGAAATTTATACCCAAAAACAACCATATGAACAAAGATCAATCAGCAACTACTGGCCCTTCGAAAAGACCATACTCGAAACCTAGAAAGAAGCTTGGGTCTAAAAAGCCAAAGAAGCCACTGAATCCGAGCACAACAACCACTCCAACAACCACCCCAGCTACTGCATCTGTTTCTTTCATTCCATCTAATGATGTTCAAAAACTACAAGATGTGGTTGAAGCGTTGAAAGAACTCCCAGAGTCCCAATTCATCGAAGCTATAGGGAAAGCACGCATGGGTGAAACTGAGAAATATATAAAAGAATTAGACTCCAGCAGGAAGAAACATCCAATTCTACAAGATAAGGGAAAATTCAATATTATCACTGATGCATTGAGGTCGGTTAATGGGCAAAAAACAACTTTAATATCTATTGACTTGGAAGCATTTGAAAGAAATACAGAAATCGTTACAGAGATTGGTATTTCGATTTATGACCCAGTGAAAGAGGCTACATCTTTAGTGCCTTCCATTATCAACATTCACCTAATATTAAAAGAGACTATCAAATTAAGAAATGGTGCTTTTGTTCATGACCATAAAGATAACTTCTTGGGTGGAAGTTCATTGGTTGTTTCCAAAAAGACAGCTGTTGATTTGATTGAATCAGTGTTAGAGTTTTATTGTGTTCAGCGTAAAGCACAGGGTTATGAAGCAGCTTTTGTTGGTCATAATTTGAGTGGTGATTTAAATTGGCTAAAGAAATTAGGTGTTCATTTACCTCAAAACCCACATATTTTAGATACTGAAAAAGTTTATTCAGCATCTCACGGATCACAGGGGAACTCTCTAGGTGCAATTTTGAAGAGATTGCGTATACCTCATAGTTTTTTACATAATGCTGGTAATGATGCTTATTTCACTTTGATTGCCCTCTTGAAGTTATCAGATCCTCATTGCAGAAGAACTGAAAAATTGGATAGCCATGAAGAAGATCTCAAATACGCTGAATTGAGTAAACAACATGAACTTCAATTGAAAGCTCAAAGAGAACAACCAAAACGGATTAATCGTCCTCGAAAGGCTTTGAAAAGTCATGAATTCTCACCATATGTTGAGTATTTTAGTTATCAGGATGCTTTGCTAAAAGTATTTGAACATTATTGATATACTTTACCGAGGATTGTTAGATTAGTTACATGATAAATATAAAAGTAGCAATAGAATAGCAGTTTTAGAAGTCCACCGTAGTATAAACCGCGTTGATCAGCTTGTCTACCTCACCAAAGATGCACTATAGTGTCGATGGGATGCCTAAACCAAATATAGCCTAAAGATTACCTGTTAGCAGGCCAATATTTCTATCGTAAATACTAGTAAACACCGTTGAATCATGAAGAAAACTGAGAAATGAAACAATTTAAAGTATCTAGAGGTCACGTGACGCTTAGTAAGCCAAGCGAGGTGGATTCACCACCAAAACAAAAAATTAAAAATTGACTCCGTGGCCAAGCTGGTTAAGGCGTGTGACTGTTAATCACAAGATCGACAGTTCGATCCTGTCCGGGGTCGAATTTTTTGATATCCTGCGGGCGATTTTTTTTTGCTTTAAAGTAGTATTTTTCCAATAATTAAACATATATTAAGCTTGCGTAGTGGTTTGTCCTCCGTTTGAGATCCATTCAGTGATGTTTTTGAACCTTTTTGGTGTTATAAAATCTTCTAACCCATTTTCGCGAAATCCGACCAATATTGAAATTCCCAATGCATTCAACAATAGTTCAATGTTGTAATGGTTTAAAGATTTATGTTTGAGAGTTTGTTTTCTCCATGTTGACAATAATGTTGTTCTCAAGATGTACGACATTAATGCGTTGCTTGTTGAGTCTCTGTATAATAAACCCCATAATCCGGCGATAAAACCGATCAATCTGTGTGGATTGATGTATTTTGAAATTGTTCTGGTTTCCAACTTTTGTTGTGTTAGGAATTGTGCAGTAATTGTGGTTAGGATAGCGAATAATGATAGTTTGGAGGTTCCTTGAAGTAAAGATTTAAAGTATGATTTCCATTTTGCTTTTAAATCTTGAAGTGTAATCTTTTTAGTGATGATGTCCTTGAGGAGATAAAAAGGTGTGATGAACAGCATTAATTTGAAGAATTTGGATGGGATATATCTCAAGAAAAGCTTCAGATTAGCAGAACCATTTAATTTGTTGATTGGGTTGATTGAGGATGGTAAGCTTTTGATTCTCTTGATATATTCTCCTTGTAAGAGGGTGTTATCAGCTAGGATAGTAACTCTTTTAACCACTAATGGCCAGCCTTTCTCAACCCATAATGGATTTGGATTGTTAAGATCATTGAATAAAGAATCAAAAACTTTTTTAACAAAAGTTGGAGTCAACAATGGATGTTCCACGTAAGTCTGATATAACTCACTGAGAGTTAATGGGATCAAGAACCAGCTTTTGGTGACCAAATCTGTGAGTTTACAATTCTCTTTTAATGCTTTCAAGGGGCCTTGGTGAATCAGATAGTTTTGAACGCTTTCACCACCATAAACAAGCAAATAAATTGACAACAGATCACGAGAATAATCTTTTGGGTACAATTGAAAGGCAGCTAATGACGTGATAAACGCAGATAAGTGTTTAGTATTTGAGAGGAAAGGTAATAATCTTGAGACAATTGCATCTGTTAACGGAACCCCCGATAATAAAGCACCGAATGATGCACTAACCAGACCCAGATTCTTGAATGAGTCAAGGGAAATTGAGCTATCAAGTCTTTTTCTAGATAGGTTGATCAGTAAGTTTTTGATTGAAGTGACTGTGGTGAGGAATCCAAAAAATGCTAATGAACTTCTGACAAAATTTCTTGTTGTACGTGCAGCCAACTCAACTTTCCCATTATTGGAAGCTTGGACTTTTTTGAAATCATCAACAATGAGTCTGAAGGAATCTATCAATTTGATTCTTTTATCCTCGTCATGAACCCCAACGCGACTTAACAATCCTGGGAGTGAGTCTGATAACGATTCCAAGTCACCAACCTTGAGTAGAAATTGGCCTATGAATAGAAGGGACTTGTAACTCTTTGTGACTTTATCGTTAACCTCTGGCATCTTGGATATTCTTTCGTTAGATACAATTGAAGTTGTTGGTTCAATGTTGGAAATGGTCACTACGTTTTAAATTTCTCAAGACGGTGAAATAATCCCCATGTTCAATATTCAATCATGGAACATCAGATCTGTGGCTGAACTCCAGAAACAATGGATCGCATTTGACACAATTAAGGAAACAACTACAAAGTCACATAACAAACAAACCTTCAACCACCTTCTTTATACCCTCTCGCCTATACTTAACCTCACACAGGCTTCTGATCGTTCAGATAAAACCCAGATCCCGTGATTCAATCGGTAGGCACACATAAATGTTTTTTTTTTTTTTGCCTTTGAATCTGAAAGAATGAATCAAGAGTTGAAGATGGTTATTCAATTGAATACACCAGAACCAATCAAGCTGAAGACTATAGAATCCTATAAATCACTGTCATAGACTCATAGAATCAAAGGTAACTCGTATTCATCTAGATTAGATACAGACTTATCCATCACCATGTCCATGTCCTCAGAAATAGCTGGTGTCATAGAGGAAACTGAAGACCTTCACCTATTCCCATCAAAGTCACCTTCAACTCCACCACCGACCTCATCAACACAGACAAAGACTAGAGATATCACACTTACCGAGAGAATGATCAGTGCATGTTCAGGTTCAATCATAACGTCATTGATCGTAACGCCCTTAGATGTTGTTAGGGTACGTTTACAACAACAAGAATTATTATTACCAAGTACAAATTGTTGCAAGAAACAAGTGTTTTGGGAAGCTCCTATCGCAGCTACAAGTGCAGCGATATCCTCAACTTTAGGTAATAACAAATCACCAGGTTGTGTCACTTCAGATAATGTCTGCATAACTGATAAAAAAATGAATGGAACGTGGAATGCAATCTATCAAATATCCAAATCAGAAGGACCAACAACGTTATGGAGAGGGTTATCTTTGACTTTGTTAATGGCTGCACCTGCAAATATTGTTTATTTCACAGGGTATGAAGTTTTGAGAGATAATTCACCTATAAAGCATTATGATGTCCTAAATCCGTTATTATGTGGTTCTATAGCTAGAGTCCTTGCAGGTACCACCGTGGCACCAATTGAATTGTTAAAGACTAGATTGCAATCAATACCATCTTCTGCACAAAATAAAACAAATGCTTTGAAAAATTTATTACAAAATGCTTCACAGGAATTGAAAACAAAAGGTCCCAAAACTTTATTCAAAGGTCTTGAATTAACATTATGGAGAGATGTTCCTTTTTCTGGTATTTATTGGGCCTCTTATGAATATTTCAAAAACTGCTTTAGTAATAATTTGAATGTGATGGCAAATGATGAATATAATTTATTCCTTCATTCATTCCTTAGTGGTTCAATATCAGGTTCAATTGCAGCATTGGCAACTAATCCATTTGATGTGGGTAAAACAAGATTACAGATCAGTATTGAAAATAATAATGGGACCTTGGGTACAACAAGTAAAAATCCATCAATGTTTAAATTCATGAGTGATATTTGGAAATTTGAAGGGTTTGGTGCATTATATGTTGGTATTGTTCCTAGAGTTTTAAAAATTGCTCCATCTTGTGCTATTATGATTTCTAGTTATGAATTGGGGAAAAGGTTTTTTTCAAAGACTAATGTTGATTGAAAAAAATCACTTGTATATATGGATATGAAAAAAATAAAAGTTTTGGTGTTGGTTTTTTTTGGTGTTGTTTTCTTGTCATGATAGTGTTGCATATTCCATTTATTGTTGCATTAATAAACATTTACATTTATTTGAAAAGTTGGTGTCTAGTAGTTTTCTTAGGAATCGATGTGCCTTATCAAATGGTTGGACTGGGGTTGAAGGCGTGAACCTCCGTTGACACAATCAAAACTCGAATGTAACTTATCGAAATCAACTTGATTAAAAACAGACCAATTGAAAGCATCGATTGAGGCATTAGACTTGATTTCAAATCACTCTCAAGTATCAAACACCAGTATCCGGTCCACTAGTAGTGTTACCTATCTAACCAAATACTCAAAGCCCTTGTAATATTTCTAAGATTTAATAAGCAATATGGTGCTCCATCAACAGAGGCTGATTATTTATTCAACAACACCATGATTACTCACCATGGCCAGCCTAGATCGAAGCAGATAGTTGATACTTCTATAGAGGATGGTTAACATGGAAGCTAACACGAGCACAGGCTGTTAAATGATTATTATCTGATTTGTAAGGCCTTAATGGTGGCCCATCATGAAATTTTCATCACAACGTTCAAGTTCGCACGAAAACAACAAGCTCAACATTACTAATGACAAAGGTTTCCTACTATGATGAATTTAACTTTAAACTAACTAAAAACTATATAAAAGGGTCAAATCCATGTCCTTTTGTTCATAGGTTTTCAAAATAAAAGTATCAAACAAACAAACAACAACACAAACAGCAATAATGTCATCAACTTCAGGAAAAGTCTACTTCATCACAGGTGCCAATCGTGGTATTGGGTTCCAACTAGCTAAGCAACTAGCAGAAACACCATCAAACACCGTCATTGGTACTGCTCGTGATCCTTCAAAGGCAACCGAATTTAAATCATTAGCTTCAGCAAATCCTAAAGTCCATATCGTGAAATTAGATGTCACTTCTGAGGAATCAATCGCTGAATTGGATTCACAATTGGCCAAAGTTGCTCCAGAAGGTATTGATACATTCATTGCCAATGCTGCAATTTCAGATTCTTATCAACCTGTTTTAGAGACACCAAAATCTAACTGGTATGCCCATTATACCACAAATGTTGTTGGACCAATTGAAATTACCAAAGTTCTTTATCCATATTTGTTGAAAAGGGAAACAAGACAATTAATCTATACATCAAGTCTTGTTGGTTCATTATCAGGTTTCTTCCCATTATCCACAGCTGCTTATGGTCAATCAAAAGCAGCATTAGACCATACTGTCTTGTCACTAAGTTTTGAATTGAAAGATGAAGGATTCACAGTTATTGCTGTTCATCCAGGTGGTGTTCAAACTGATATGGGTAATTATGGTTTACCAAAATTAGTTAAAAACCATCCAGAAGCTGGTAAATTGTTGATGGAGGGTTCTATTAGTGCTGAACAAAGTGCTAGTGATCAAATCCATAAAGTCTATGAGAAATTGACTAAGGAGTCTAATGGTAAGTTTTTCAACTATGATGGTTCTGTATTACCATGGTGAGTGAGAAGTGGAAGTGGTTTTCAGGTGAGCCAGTGTTTTTTTTTCTACAAGTTTCAGTTATTTTAATTTACTTTTTTATGAATGCAGCTAGATCTATATATCACTAATACAATGAATATGATATTTTGACGTTTGTTGTAGGTAAGCTCTAGGCGCCATCCATTTGTTGGTACAGCTGATCAAATCCAAGTAGTAATGATCATAACTATTCATGATTTCACTTGATGAACTCAAAACAGTTCTGCCATTAGAAGTCCTAAAATCGCATATTTGATTTATACTGCTTCACACTAAAAAGGCCCTTTTCAACCCAAGAAATACGTTTACAAAAGTTTCATTGGCTTTGATGCTTAACGGCGATCGTTAGAACGGAATTCCGAAACCTTGAACTTCACTAATTCACCTTTCCACTTTAACACGTAGCTCTAAAACATCATATCTAACCCTGAAGGGATATTAGAAAGATTATGATAATATCATTACTAATGTTTCTAAAGAGAATAGTGGCTTGATGCTGATTAATTAAAGCACCCAAGAAATACTATAAAAGGGCACCATCAAGCACAACTTCCTCAACATCTATACTTCTACACATCAACACAAACTAGAATCATGTCATCATCAGCAAAAGTCTACTTCATCACCGGTGTCAACCGTGGTATTGGCTTCCAAATAGTCAAACAATTATCAGAAGCCAACCCAGAAAACATCATCATCGGCACAGCTCGTGACCCAACAAAAGCAACAGAATTACAATCATTAGCTTCATCAAACCCAAACATCCACATCTTGAAACTAGACGTCGCTTCAGAAGAATCCATCGCAGCACTAGATGCCCAACTAGCACCAATCGCAAAAGATGGTATTGATACATTCATCTCAAACGCTGCAATCTCAGATTCTTACCATCCAGTCCTAGAAACCCCAAAATCTAATTGGTATGCCCATTATAACACAAATGTCATTGGTCCAATTGAAGTTTCAAAAGTTTTGTATCCATACTTGTTGAAAAAAGAGACAAGACAATTGATCTATTGTTCAAGTCTTGTTGGGTCCCTTTCTGGATTTTTCCCAATCTCTACAGCTGCTTATGGTCAATCAAAAGCTGCGTTGAATCATACTGTCTTGACATTAAGTCATGAATTGAAAGACAAGGGGTTCACTGTTGTTGCGGTGCATCCTGGTAATGTTTCCACTGATATGGGTAATTATGGTATGGATACTTTGTCAAAGAATCATCCAGAACTTGGTAAAAAATTGGTGGAAAGTTACATTACTCCTGAAGCTAGTGCTAGCTATCAAATTCATGATGTTTTTGAAAAATTAACCAAGGAATCTAATGGTAAATTTTTCAATTATGACGGTTCTGATTATCCTTGGTGAATATAAAAATTGAACGCTTTTAGAAATTATTATACAAATGAATGAACAGATAGCACTGTGAATAATATATGTAAAACCTCTATTAAAATAACTAGCTCGAGTTCTCATGTCCATTCATGAACATTTGACGAAACTGGTCTTATACCCAAAGCACCAGGCGTACTATAATGATTGATGGTATAGCCAGTTGGATCATTATCGGCATTGCTGTTATTGTTACTTCCGTTTAAATCTTCAATCTTACCAGAGTTATGATGTTTTTGATTAGGTGGTGTTGAAGCTGTTGGAGGTGGTCCACTTGTTACACCAGGTTGAATACTTGGATAATGTGATGGTGTAATTCCTTTAGATTTCAATTCTTCATTTGTTATATTTATTACAGTACTTTGGTTTTGTTGTTGTCTTGATTGGTTTTCACTTGCACTTGGTTGAGCTGAAGATGGTGGTGGCATGCTTGAATTACTGTTGTTTTCTGGATCATTATTAAACCTATTATCCAAGTATTTCCCAATTTGATTTGGGGACAAGGCGACATATTTTGGATTGTTTGTATGTGAGGTTGATATATCTCTTGATGACATTTGCATTGCACTATTCAACTTATTTTGTAAAAGTAATCTATGCAAATTATTATTGTTATTATTCCCAGATGCTGTACTATTATTTGTTGACATGTTATTCATATAATAATAATTTTCAAGGAATTTTTTGGATGTATCTTTGAATTTACAACTTTGATTTTGAATTGTAACAGCATACTCAGCCAAAGAATTTCTTAACCCAGTATTTATACTTCTTATGAATTGATCTTCAACTATCTCAACTGAACATTCCAATTCTTCTAAATTCTCTTTAGTTAAAGTTGTAATTGGACTATCACCAACTTTATTCTCATTTTCCCTCAATTTAACCAATATTTTATTCCTTTTCAATTTCAATTCAGTTGTTCTTTTCTCTCTTTTATTAACATTCAACAATTGACTATTAATAACTTCTCTCTTTTTAATCAATTGATCAAAAGTTTCAATTTCTAGTTCCAAGATCTTGATATAATTGTACAACAATTTTTTACATTCATCATTTGTCAAAATATTACACCAATTTTGAATTTCTTTAATTAAATCATTTTGTTTTTGTAATTTCTTCTTTTCAGCCTTAATCAATTTGGAGAATTTCAGATGTAATGAAGAAGAAGTCAGTTGAGATCCATTTTGAAATTTATCCAATAATGAACTTGTGAAGAATGAATTATTAGTTGGTTGTGGTATTAATTGAGAATATGATTCCACCATTGGATAACGTGAATTTGTAGTCAAAGGTCTTGAGACCATCTCCAACTGATCCTGTTGTAATTGGCTTTGTTGATCATCTTGATCTAAACCGGCACTTGAGCTTGGAATTGTTTCTAAATCGGCACCTCTTGTGGAAATACCGCTGGGGGTAAAGACCTGATTTTGGTTCATGATGGATGAGGGAAGGAATGTCCAGCCTTATAATCATACACTCAACAGCTATATTGATATTCTCATTATGTTGTCTTTTCTGTAAACTAATCAAATTTCAACATTTGGTTTTGTGTCAATACAAAATCTTTCTTTAATGTGACACGCATAAAAATGACAGCCATATAACCAATAACCAAAACAGCGCAAAAACTACCCAAAGCCACCAACTAAATATCTAATTTAATTTATTAAAATATGAATATCGTATATATAAAGCTCAGATGTTTGGGTCTATTTCTTCGTAACAACATCGTCAACATTTAACCCACCATATTTCTTAATCCCCCTTTTCAAATCTTCAACACCAGTATCAAATTTTGAAACACTTTTTTTATACTCTGCTTCACTCTTGTTAACCAAGCTTTCAACTTTACCCACTAATTCATCTTGCTTATTAGTTATTTGAGGTAAATTTTCGTGCTCAATCTTGTGTAAAAATGAAGTTGAGTTCTTGAAAGTAATTGGTAATGCAAACTTGAAAGCTAAAGTACCAAGTATCACTGGTGCTATACCTCTAAAGACAATGTTTGAACGACGTGTAATGATTGAACCTGTAAGAGCGGCTATAGCGATATATATTGAACCTGGTAATAGATCTTCGTCTCTATCGTGAAGTTTGGCAATTGTTGTGGAAAAATGTTGTTCTTTTGTATGGTATGATGTTGTTAGCTGATCTAATTTATCTTCAGTGGAGATCCATGTTTGGTTGAAGAAAGTTCTGATTGATTCAATTTTAGATTGTAGAAAAGATGGTGATCTAACAGAAGCACCATTGACTAGTCTTGGTGATAAAGATTCTAGTTCTTGCTTAGTGGCTGGTTGTGTTGTACCTGGTAGAGGTGTTAGATGTTCTTCATCTTCATAGAATGAACGAGCCATGGTTGATATATATGAGTTGTTGATTGTTTTCAATTTTAACCCTTCTCGAGGTTATTCACAATTTTTCCAAAAATCAATTCCCAGTAGCTCAGGGCTATGAACCATTTCCCAATGCGGCGATTACACTATCACTTACCTAATCACAGAGATTAATTTATTAACCCGTACCACGATGACAGATCATCTGAGAAAGAAAATCAATCGTATGGATTTCTGTGGGAAGCAGCACCAAATGGGGCAAGTAAGAGCACTGGTGATCAGAACAATAACGATAATAGATTCAACATGGACACCATACACATACAATTAATCAATTAATACTACCACCACCATAACTCTATTAATCAACATCATAATCCACAACTCCAATATCCTCATCCACTTCTCCAGACTCTGCTCGGTATATCCATCCTTTTCCCGATGCTCCCCGGCCCTCCCCAAAAAGCCCAACTTTCTCCGAGGCCCCTACAACTTTGGGCTGTTCCCCAGAAAAGAAGCAAAAAAAAAGAAAATTTTAAAATCTCGACTTCTGGTGTGACTTGTATATAAGTAAAATTCATTCCTGATTTCAACTTGTTCTTTTACAAACAACAACACCAACTACAACAAGCTATACAAACATGTCCCTTTGCGGTCCTACAAACGCGCTAAACAAACTATCACAACACTCTCAGGTCGACAGATCCCTCCATCAAGACCAGCAGAGACGATTCGCTCCATCAGGTGTCGACGCCTTCAAATCAACACAACAGAATAATCAACTTGAATTAGAGTTTCAACAACAACAACAGCAACATTTCCAACAAAGTTTCAATCCTATTTTTGCTAATGCATTCAACAAACCTTTACAAAGAGCCCAACCTCAACAAGCTGCTTCCTCTTCATCATCATGGGCCTCTGATTTCACTGCCAATCAAATGAATCAACCACAACAACACCAATACTCTCATGGCTGGAATAATCAATTTCAATCTTTCCAAGCTCAACACCAAGCACAGGCTCCAGCTCCATCTATTGCCACTCCTCGTTCTTTCACAAACTTGGCCCAACTATCCAATTTATCAATGACTCAAGCATCTTTCAATCAAGCTTCAACACCTTTCAGAACAGAACATCAAGAATTACACCATACTAATGGTGACCTTTTAGCTAATGAATTAGAGTCCGAATTTGCCAAATTGGAACAAGAATTCCAAAACACTTCATTGAAAGAAGAAGCTCCAGTTTTCAAACGTTCAAATTCAGATTTTGCCAATGCTGCAATGCAAGTTGTTGATGCCATGAATACAAACAATAATGAGAAATTCAAACAATCCAAATTCTTGAGCTTGATGAATATGGTTGCTCAAGGTAAAGTTGAATTAAATGAAGATGAAACTAAATTGGTTGATGAAGCTGGTCAAGATATTTCAGAATCCACAAATTCATTACCAGATCCATTAGCTGGTATTGCTGATGGTTCTTTAGAAACTCCTTTCCAAAGTGCTCAAATGGTTGGAGATAATCATCATGAAGTTTACACTTGGGATGATGTCTATGATGATTATAGACATGATGATTCATCCTTTTAAATATTCAGCAAGAACATCAAAACACATAGTTGTTTGATGTTCATCCCTCACCATATGCATGATAGATATGATCTAGAGCTATAGATTTTACATACTCACCCAGACCTACTCATATAATGAAGTTATGATTATCATTTTTCACATTCAATGAAGTTTAAAACCTTCAATTACAATCTTTTAATAAGAGACGGATATATTCTCTGTAACAAAAAATATATATTTTAATGATTTTAAAATTGATGTAGAATTCTACAAATGATAGTTGACTTGAATCATTAATTCTAAACCAAACCAAACACCGTCCAATTATATACAAATCATCAATTCTCCTTACCTCTATCATCATCATCATCGCCGAAATCAATCAACTCTTTACCTTTCTCATCATCACTCTCATCCTCAATACTCTTATCCACAATCTTCCTTCCTTGAGCTTCCTTCATCTTTAAAATCTTTTCCTGATCATCATCACCCATTAACCCTTGTTTAACATCACTTACAAAACTCCATAAAGAATTACTAACACTTTTCAAAACATCATCTTTCTCCTTCTGATCCTTATTCAGTTTCTCCATCTCATTTTGTAACATCTGATCAAATTGATTCAACATCGTTAATGGTTTACTCCAATAAGATTCCTTTCCATCACCACTCTCTTTCTCATTTTCTCTCTTTTCTTTCAACAACTCTTCAGACTTTTTAGGTTTCGGAACATTATTCAAATTCCTAGCAACTTTACTCCTCAATCTATTCAACTCTTCCTCCTCTCTTGCAATACGACCTTGTAATAGTTTCAATTCATCCTTCAGTTCCACAATCTTCATCTCTGAACTTGCCATCTTTCTTAAAACTTCATTCATATCCGTCCCTGAGGTGACCCTTTTCGGTGTAGAGTTCTTGCTCATTGCTATGTTCAAGTTCAAGCCTTTCTTACGCGCACTTGAAGGGTTTGGTGATAATGGATGGGATGAGACTGAGTTTTTACGAGGCTTTGTAGGTGTGGATTGTGATGTTGTTCTTTGATGTTGCTGGGTGTTTGGAGTCCCCGGTGGGATTGGTGATAATGGTTTCAAGTCCATATCTGGGGGTTGTGTGTCTGTTGGTGAGGATAGTGTAGATATTGTTGATGTATCTTTGTTTAATGTTTTATCAAAATCTTCAATAAATTGATCAAATTTTGACATATTTTGTGGTTGTGTGACGGGTATTAAATGTTGATGATTGGGATGGTGAGTTTTCTTGTTCTTCTGATAGCGAATTTCTTGTAATAGCTATGGGTTATCTTGGTTCTCTAGGTTCTTTTAATCTTGATAGTCTCTAGTTATAATCTGTTCGTTAATTGCCATTTAAATTCGTTAACCTTCAAAGAATCAAAACCAAATTGGTTACGCAGCCACTGGTTCCTATAATGTGCCACGTACCAGATCAGATTCGCGAATATTTAAAATTCTCAAAATTGTGAAATTTGAATCAAGTTGTTATAAAAAGACGACAACAAGACATAATTCCAATTCCAATCCACAACTCAATCAGCCAAAGGACGTTATCAGCTTATTATAGTGAATTCAATTGCTTCAATACCAGTATCTTCAATTGACTCTACTCCTGGCTAAACAAGATGACTCCCTTCAAGTTTGGTAAGAAGCACAAATCCAAGGAAAAGGATTCCTCCACCTCACATGGGAATGGTAATGGTAATGATTCAACATTTTCTTCACCATCTTCTCAAAACCAACAACAAAACTTGGGTGATAACTCTCCAACAATCTCCAATTATTCTAAAAATTCACAATATCAACGAAATCAACAAGGCGCTGGTGGTGCATCAAATCAGGGTCCAAATCAATTCAATTCACCAGCTTCAAACTTTGGAAATTCACCAGCTGCCACTGGGAACTATAGAGACCAAGGTGTTGGTATTGTTTATGATCAAAATAACAATTATCAAACAAAGTCACCACAAAGATATCAGCAACAACAACAACCATTCCAAAAATCACCACCTCCTATGCCTCAATATGGTCAACCTGCTCCTGCATCATCTTCAGGTCCACCTCCTCAACGTGGTAATTTCAAATCTCCATGGACACGTTCAAAGTTATTAATCTCACCATTTCCTCGTTATAGACATGCTGCTTCCAGTCATGCTAATGAAAAAGGTGAAATTTATGTCATGGGTGGATTACACAACACTTCTGTGTATGGTGATACATGGATTTTAAAACCAGATTTAGAATCTCGTCAATTTCAATCATTCCAAGTTGACATTTATGATAATTCTCCTGCTCCAAGAGTCGGTCATGCTTCTACATTATGTGGTAATGCCTATGTGATCTTTGGTGGTGATACTGTTACTAATGAAGCTGGTGAAATTGATAATGATTTATATTTATTCAATATGAACTCTCATGCTTGGACCGTACCAAAACCTACTGGTAAGAAACCTTCGGGGAGATATGGTCACACTATTGGAGTCATTGCAATAACGAATTTTGATTCAAAATTGTATCTTTATGGTGGTCAATTGGATGATGTTGTTTATAATGATTTATGTGTTTTCAACTTATCAAGTTTTAGAAGACCAGATGTCCATTGGGAATGGGTCCACCCAAGTGATCATATCCGTCCACCTCCATTAACAAACCATTCTATGGATGTTTATGATAACAAATTATGGTTATTTGGTGGGTCCACTGGTAAGAAATTGACTAATGAATTGTGGTGTTTTGATCCTCAAATGGAGAGATGGGATAAGATTAAAACTTTGGGGAACCAGCGACCTCAACCAGTTGAAGAACATGCTTCAGTGATTTACAAAGATTTGATGATTGTTTATGGTGGTAAAAATTCAGATGGTGACGCTTTGAATGATTTATATTTTTTGAATTTAATCACAAAGACTTGGTTTAAATTCCCAACAAATTTCCCATTAGAACCTCAAGGTAAATATGGACATACTTTATCCATATTGAAGAATGATAAATTGTTAATATTGGGTGGACATTTACCTGATTATGCTAATCTTGGTGAGAATTTAGAAGTTTCAAATATTGATAACGGCGTTGGTACAATATTGAATTTGTTAGATTTAACCAACTTGCCTAAATTAGTTCCAGGTTTACAACAATATAGTACACCAAATCGTGTTCAACAAGATCGTTTCCCAACTCAACAATCTATTTTCAGTCCACAAAAGACTCCACAAGAACAACAACCACAATCTCCAGCACATAATGCTTTTGGTCCTCCAGGCTCTGCTACTGCTGCTGGTGTTGGCGCTGCTGGTGTTGCAGGTGCTGCTATTGCAGGGTCCGCTGCTTCAAATCATTCGGGCTCGATTTCATCTGAAACTCCACGTCCAGGCTTCCAAAAATCTCATACTCCACGTCAATACTCTGCAGAAGATGTTTTCCAACGTGAGCAAAGACAAGCTCCATCCTCTCAAAACACACCACCACATGCAAACCGTTTGAATGTTCCACAAACTCAACCACAGCAATTTTCATCACCGGAAGAGGAATTGCCATTACAAATTCCATCACCTATCAAAACTGAAAATGATGTGCCTGGTTCATTCCCAAGCTCTGGTCCAAGTGGTATTGATCGTGAACTTAAAGAATCTAGAGAACCATCCAACCAGTATCCTGAGGTCCCAAAGACTCAAGTGGAAGATTTAACAAAAGATATACCAGGTGGATTTAATGATGAATTTAAAACTCCAAATGCTTCACCTTCAAAAACTAGCTTGAATGAAAATGGTCAACATTTACAACCACAAATTTATAAAAATGATGAAGCTAAAAACTCTGACTTTTTGGATTCTTATGTTAATGGTGATTCAAAGAGTGATTTGGCTGAAAAAGATGATGAGGAACCACTTGAAGATTATTCAAGAAAGGATATTGGTGCTGGTATTTTAGGTGCTGGTGCAGTTGGTGCAGCAGGTGCCGCTGCTGCTACTGCTGGGTTAAGTAATGGTTCCACATCAAGAGGTTTGGAATCAACTAGTGATGTTGGTATCGGTTCAAGAGATTACACTTCAGCTAGTGATGTGGGTGTTGCTACTAAGGCTTACAATTCAGCTAAAGCACCAACAAGTGTTAATGATAATGAGGAAGTTAAAAAGATTATAGCGTCATTGTCTCAAGAATTGGAGGATTTGAAATTATCAACAAATTCTCAAATCAAAGAGGCTAGTTCAAAAGTTAGGGATCTAGAAGAGGAGAATTCTAGTTTGAAGAAACAATTGGGAGAAACTGGTGAATCCGGTGATAGAGATTTGGATGAAAATAGTTACAAGAGAAAACATATCAAGTTGAATACTGATTATCAAATCTTGAATAAGAATCATTCTCAGTTAAAGTCTAAATTGGATGAAATTGAACCAGTCTTCTCAAATAACTTGCTTGATTTACAAAAACTGAACAATATAATCAAACAACAAAGCTTGACAATTGAAGAAACTCAAAGATCATTAAGTGAACAAGAGGATTATAAATTGAAGTTTAGTGATTTGCAAGGGAAATACCAAGCATTAGAGGAGAGTTATAAGGAGTTGAGTGAATCAAGAAGTAAAGATTTTAATGAGACTCATGGTGATGTTAAACAGTTGAGTACTAATTTGGATTCATTCTTGGCTAAATATTTGGTTACAGATTCAGAAGGTGCCACAGGAACAAGAAGCTTGAGTGGAAGTGGTGTTAATAATGGTCAAGATGATGATGTTACAACCTCATTACAGGCTCAAATTGATGAATTATTGAAGGAAAATGAAGAACTACACGGTCAACACAAATCACTAAAAGATCAATACTCTTCATTAGAAAGTTCACAAGGTGGTGAATTAGAAGCTCTAAGGGCTAAAGTTACTGAATTATCCAAAATTGAGGAAAATTACAAAGATTCCTTACATTCTGTTAAAAACACTTCAAGAGCACTACAGGTTTCTCAAAGTGAATTGAATAAACAAAAGGAAGTTACATTGAAATTACAACAAGAATTGGATGAATTGAAATTGTTCAGAGCTAATAGAAAATCATCAAGAAACACCACACCAATTGTTAATGAATTTAGTAAACAAGAAACTCCAAAGCAACCAATCACAACTGATGAAGAAGAGGAAGATATTGAAAGTGCTCATTATAACTTGAAGATTAGAGATTTACAAGCTGAGTTGTTCATTACAAAACAAGAAAGAGATGAGTTAAAACATGATGTTTTAGAATTGAAGAAGAAGTTGTTGAATTCTGCACCAAGTGGATCATTTTAAATGATGATGGAGGTTTTTTTATAGGAACTATTTGTTCGGTTTTTTACTTTTGAAATTGTTTGTTGTCCGTTTTTATTTCATTTTGATTCTAGTCGGAAAAAAGAAAAAGAGATCAGTTAATGATTGTTTTTAATGTACTTTTAATTTGTGTTTTAATGAAGAATCTATATTGTATGCTGGTAGACTATCACAATTGTTCGTTTCTTATTATCTGTTATGATTATTAATATCTTATATAAAGCTTTCGCGAAATGTGTCACAGATCAAAAATACCTCATCTCTGAAAAAAATTCAAGCATCAAATCAAAAGATGCTTAAACATAATACAAGTTTTACTGCATTTCCACATACAAATACTGGACAAAGGATGTTAAGAAAGATAAGATACGCATCTTTGATACGAAGAAGCTGCATAAGGCACAAATCAAGTGGCTCGGGCTCTTCTTCCTTCAACTGGGAACATGAAGATGATCCAATCGATATCAACAGATCTTTATCTCATGTAAAATCATCATTACCATTTGCCTATAGAAAAGAAAGTGAAGCTTTTGGTCAAATAGTAAAAAATCAACAACATGATTTAGATGATTCAGAACTTGATTCAAAGATCCGTGTGATCTCTAGGGAAGATTATTTGGCACAAACTTTAGAAAGAAGTCCATTTAGAGATGAAGAAGGTCGTCCTATTCAAGGTAGTAATGCTGAAGAGGCAAGATTACATCCTCGTACGCTAATAGCAAGAAACCCAAGAGAACAGATCAAAGTGCCTGACTTGATTTCAAGAGCTATCAAGTCCCATATTCTAGCACTGCGGTTACCAAAACGTTTAAGAACTTCAGTTAGTGATATGTATATCGCCTTACAAAAAAATCAAATTCACAAGCCAACTAAATCTGCTATGGAATGTGATGCTCATATAGCTGGTTTGTTTATTCAGAACTATGCATCTATATATCAAGTGTTGTCGGAACTAAAGAAAAGAACTAAAGATTTCAATCCAAATAAAGTCTTGGATATCGGGTTTGGTCCTGCTACTGGTATGATTGCACTTAATCAACTGATGGGTAATGAATTCAAACCAGAAGTTAAAGATGCTTTGATTGTTGGTGACAAGTCTATGAAAGATAGAGCCAAGATTTTGTTATCAAGACAACTTAATGAATATACTGGAGATATCAAAGACTTGGAATTAGAAATGGATGAAGCCCAAGAGGAAATGTTGGAAGATGTTGATGAAAATGTTTTCCAAGATGAGATTGATGATCGTGTCGGTGCCATTAAAACAAACCATATTAAAGTTAAGACCAAATTACGTGACTATCTTTCACCAACAAAGAAGTATGATTTGATTATTGCCACTCATCAATTATTACAAGATTCTTCAAGATTCCCATTCCAAGTTGATGAAAATGTTGATATTCTATTGAAATCTTTATCACCAAATGGTCATTTAGTCCTTGTTGAAAGAGGTAATCCATTAGGTTTTGAAATCGTCGCTAGAGCAAGACATGTTATGATTAGACCTGATAGAAATGGGAACGAAAATGGTAAAATTCCAAGATCATATCAAAAGAATGAAAATACCAAAGGTAAAAATAGATCAAATTTGGGTAAATTATCAGAAGAAATGGAGATGGCTAAAGAATTGGAAGAAAGATTTGGTTCATTATCTGAAAAAGATTTAGAATTTGAAGAAGGTTTAGAAGAGCTTGAAGTTGAAGATTTTGACAAATTAGCCTCCAACATTGAAGAATCATTAGAAACTATTGACAAAGATCCATATCACATTTCAATCGTTGCACCATGTCCACATCATCATAAATGTCCTTTACAAACATCAAAACCAGAATACTATACAACACCACCAGGTGGGAAATTGAATTTCTGTAACCATGAAGTTTCAGTTGAAAGACCACCATTCTCATTAGATGTTAAAAGAGGTAAAGTCTTAGCCTCTAAATGGGGGTCACCAACAGCTGGTAGATCATCTATTGGGTTACCAGGTAGTGGTAGACCAAACGGTAAGAATTATGAATTGGCAAGTTTTTCATACATGATTGCACATAGATCACCAAATGATGCTGAAACAGTTTCTAGTATTGAAAAAAGACGTGAAGAGGCTACACATGATGATTTACTTGGTACTGAAGGTGAAGACCAAAGCACTTGGCCACGTATCATGTTGCAACCAATGAAGAGAACAGGACATGTCACCATGGCCTTGTGTGGAGCTTCTGGTAAGATTGAAAAATGGACTGTTTCAAAATCATTAGTTGATGAAAGATATCAAGATGAAGATGACACTAAGAAACATCAAATTTATTATGATGCTAGAAAGTCAGCAGCTGGTGATTTATGGGCATTTGGTGCTAAATCCAAGACTGTTCACGACATGGGTGTTAATGATACAAAGATTGAAAAGATTGAAAACTTTTACAAGAATGAAGCTAAGCGTCTTGCTAGTGAAAAGAGAAGATTGAGTAAACAACAAAAGGCTGATGCTGCTCAAAGAGCAGAAGCTTTAGGTTCTGATGCAACCATTGAAGAAAAAATTGATATCTGGGTTGATGAATTTGATGGTAGTAAGAAACAACAACAGCAAGATAAAAAAAGTGGTGTTAGACCACAAAAGCCAAAGTTTTGATGCTATAATCAATTCTCATTATTTATTGCTTGTACAGAGAAAACTTGTAATTAAAAAGAACGTGTATATACAAATTAGATCATCAATGAACTATATAATAAAAAGGGGTTCTAGATATGGTTGGGCAGCATTTAGAATGTAAACACTTTTCTTGCACTTGGTTGCCACAAATCCCATTCTTGTTCTATATCACTAGCTTTGGCAGTTTCTATCTTTTCATCTGTACCAAATTGACCTTTTGCCAATTGTGCTGTAATATCAGGGAATGCTTTACCAGCATCTCTAGTTGTGAATGAACCTAACCCACTTCCAAGAATGTGTAAGTTATGGCCTCTCAAAATACCTGGTGGGATATTGAAATCAGTACCACCAATTTGTCCAATTTGAACAAAACTCAACAATTTTGTGGAATCTTTTCTAGATTTGATCAAATTTAACAAGGTTCTTTCAGCAGCTTTACCCCATGTGTAATCTAAAACAACATCAACATCAAACTCTGAGAATTTTTTTGTCATTTCTTCATCTGAATCGGTTAATGGGATTATAGCATCTAACCCTTTAGGTTCAACAAGAGCTTTCAATTTGTCTTCTGATCTTCCAACACCAATAACTTTACTAGCACCATATTTTTTTCTGGCTATTTCAGCAGCAAGAGAACCAGAAGCACCAGTGACACCATTAATAGCCACGGTGAACCCGGGTTCAATGACTTGACTCAATCTTGAATCGAAAACCAAATATGAAGACATGGCAGGGTTGGATAAAGTGGTGACTCTTGCAATTGCATCAGTATCATCTTTTGTGATTTCTTCAGGAAATGGGAAAATGAATCTCTTGTCAACATTGACATATTCAGCAAATGAACCTGTACCTGGGGTAAGTGTAATGAAGAACACCAATTGTTTATCATCAATTAACCCAACACCATCAATCCCGATCAATTTTTCAGAGGTATCATTTGCACTGACTGAATAATGTTTCCCAAGAGCTCTCATTCTAACAAGATGATGAATTGAGGTACCTAACACTTTAACACGGACTTCAGATTCAGCTGGTTCCCTTAGAGAGAAGTTTTCGATGAATCTAGGCTTTGAATCACCAGATTTAATAACGACAGCTTTGACGGTGGACATTTTTGTGATATGATTGAGTTGATATCTATAGTTTATTGTTTATAATTAACAAGAACTACAATTGGATGAAATGTAAAGAATAATGTTGTTCTTTATACTTTTTTGACACCTTGATATTGTTTTTCCCGAAAGATGCTTAAGGCCGCTATGGCTGAATATGGCCGGTACACCCATGTAAAGCCGTCTTAAAGAACAATGAGCCTTGATGAAATCAATGAAAATAGTTTTAAAGAATAAAAAAAACTACTATGAACTGAAGATCTACGTTCAATTCGAAAGTGTTTTGTGAATGTTTCACGGTTATATCTTGTAAAGTACGTTAAATCATCAGTCAAATGGGAATTTGTATTCCGTCACTTTCATTCTATCAACTATGCAAATTATTTAATTACTCTTTCTCATACATTTCATCGTCATCATCATCTTCATATTCCTCTTGTACCTCTTGATCTCCTATTTCTGGTGCCACAGCATCTGTTAAATCAGTCAATTTATTCATCACAGAGACGACAAACGGTCTAATCTCATTAATCTCCATTAATGATAAATTATCCAATTGTAAATGAGATTCATTCACTAAAGTTAAACCTTTCTTGATCTTTATCAATCTAATCTCTTTTAAATCTTGTACTAATGATTTTAACTTATAAACTTCATCTGCAAGATCATCTGAAGCATTTTCAAAGAAAATCTTGGAAATTTCAAGCCAATTATAGGGCAATTCACTAAAACTCTCTAATGTTGTAACTTCAAATTGATATAAATCTTGTAATTTTTTCAAGTTCAACCATTCAGGTGGTACGATATTACATTTCCTTTGTGCTTTCAATATCAATGCTAGCCATATAGGCACTTGTATTCTATTCATTGCTCTTATTTTGGGAAGTTTTGTAGTTATTAAACTTAAACCATTCATGGAGTATCTTGGTAATATGGTGATGAGTTCATTCTCTGTTAAGAAGTGGATTTCTGCAGGAGAGAAAGTGTCTTTAAGACTATTTGGTAGTGACATGATTTCAATGGCTTTATTGACCCTTTCTTAATCAAATAATTTAGTATTAAATCATTGAATTTCCAGTATTTTGTATTGATTTCACGAGTTTTTTGACGTCAAAAAGTTTCGCGTCAGTTCAAAAAAAAACGAGTTCGCGAAAAGTGTTGCGCGTTTCCAAAAATCGGAGTGAATCATTTTGGGAAATTTTATTTACAATTCAGAAAAGATTCAAAGTGACTTTATTTCAATATATTTGGAGAAAGGATTGTGCTTGGTGATGCTGAAGAGTGGGAAGGGCGTATTCCGTAGACTTTTGTCTACAAAGAGTCTCCCGTTCGAAGGAAATTTGAAAAGGAAATCCAACGATAATAAAGATTTGATGCTTTCAATTTTAAAATTAACCACAACTAAAAGAGAAACAAATAACTATTTAAACAAGTATTCTTCGTTTAGTAAAGCTTCAAACCTGGATAAATCGGAAATCCCACCACCATTAAGACTAGTTGTCATTAAAATCAAAGGAAATGTGCTCAATTATGAAGAATCAGAACTACGGAAATTTAATAAAACTTTGGATTATATACAGAAATTAGGAGCTAGTCCGTTATTACTTATAGATGCTGATTTTTTACATGATAGATATGATTTGAATTTTTCCAAAATTGACAATTATTTATCAGATCAATATAATTATCTAAACAAATGTTTGGAGGATAAAAAATTATTAACAGTGACACCTGTTAGATGTATATTGTCCAAGAATGAACAGACAGATACTGAATTAGATATACCAGAGATGATTTTAAACCCATTGAAACAAGATCAAGTGCCAATTTTGTTCCCGTATGTGTTTGCTCACAAGTTTGGTAGAGAAGTTATTTACCAATCAAAAGATTATTTAAAAGTGTTGATACAAAATCTTTCCAAATTGAATTCGCAAACAGGCAATACACTACTCACAGTGGAGAAGTTGATATTTATTGATAGGTTAGGAGGGCCACCAAGTATTGAAAGGGGAAATGCATCACATGTTTATATCAATTTAAACCAAGAATATGAAAGAATAATGTCTGAATTGAATATTGGTCATTTATCAATCACTGAAAAGGCTTCGCATATCAAGAATCTAGAGGATTTAAAAGATATTTTAACATCAACAAATAATGAACTAACGGGGATTATAACAACATTACCAATTGCTAATGAGAATTTAAATTTGAATCCAATTATTTATAATATTTTAACAGATAGAACATTGGTTAGTTCCTCATTACCAATCACCAAATTTCAAAACAAGCAAGATATCACAACAAGAGTTTCCAAGACCTCAATAATTAGAGGTGGGTTAGAAATCCATAGTTTTAAAAAAATTGATGATGGTATTGATATCAAGAAATTCAAACATTTAATTGATACATCTTTTAAAAGATCATTGAACCTAGATCATTATTTATCAAGAATTGAGCCAATATTATCACAAGTTATAATTGTGGGTGATTATGAAGGTATAGCAATAGTCACTAATGAAAAATCCCCAACAACAGGAGAGGTTATACCATATTTAGATAAATTTGCCGTTTCAAGAGAAGCTCAAGGTTCATTAAACATTGCAGATATTATTGTAAACATCTTGAGAAGGGATTATAAAGATGGGTTATTATGGAGATCTAGAAAAGTTAATCCTGTTAATGGTTGGTATTTCCAAAGATCTGATGGAAGTTTAAATTTGCAAGATAGTGAATTTAGAATATTTTGGATTGGTAAAGGGATTGATAAAGTTAAATTACAAACGTTTGTGGAGATTGGGAAATCTATAAAACCCTCATGGGATAAATGAAAAATAGTCATATATATGCATAAATTTAGTTAAACAATTTGTATCTAATTTGTACCATCTATTTGATTACCAATCCATTCAGATAATTCGTCATGAAGTATGAAGCCTGCAATATCAGAACCTTTAAATTTGACTGGTTCACCATCTTCAACCACTTGTACCAAGTATTGGAAAGATTTCTTTAAATCATCATCACTAGTAATTACATCAATTTTTTTCGCATAACCCTTTTCCACTTTAAAAGACACATCAATATTGAACTCTTCATTGTGTAATCTCATTTCGAAAGGTGGAGTGCCACCAAATCTCCATTTCCAATCATGTAACTCTTTACCAATGTTGGCAATTTCGTTATTATTAAAACCTTCATCATCATCATTAATTTCAACAACTTCAACATCTGAACCATAAACTTTCTTAAACCCATCTTGAACCAACTCTATAAATTTCTCATTCTCCAATCCAAGATTTGACACTGGCGAAGAAACACTATCCACAGCATTACATTCAAATTCCATAACATTTTCCCTCTCTTTTTTATTCAACAATTTTTTCAAAACATCCAAATTCGAATTCAACAGCATTGTACCATGATGATAACTTTTCCCTCTCGATATCTTGAAAGCACTCCCACTTAATTTATCATTATTCATCGTGACGATATCTCCTCTCTCATTTTGTTTTATTTTATCCAACCCCATCGATTCATTAATAACATCAACAATCAACTTCCCAAAATAACTTCTCGAAAACATGTCACGAGTGGTTATATAACTATAGTTAACATTCCCCAAATCATGAACAACAGTACCTCCACCGGATCTTCTTCTTAATAAAGGGATTTGTAAACTGTTTAATAATGGGAAATTGGTCTCTCTCCATGGGTTTTGGTTCTTACCAATGACAACACATGGTGAATTTGTATAAAAGATTAGTCTCTGTGCAGTGAATGGTTTAGATATTGGTGTATGTTGGAATATATAGTCTTCTAGTGCTAGGTTCATAAATGGATTTGTTGAATTTGATATAAAGATCTTGGGAGTGTTTGATTTGATCTTATCCAGGAGTGATTCTTTAGGCTGGGGTTGTTGTGGATGGATATCCATGGGTGTTTCCATTCCATAGAGTTCGTTTAGTTCAGAATTGATCTCTGCAATGTCATCTTGGAGGGTATTATTATTGATTTGTTCTGGAGTTGATTCTGAGCCTGTGAATAAATCTGAGTAGTAATTGTTTAGATCTTGGAATTTCTGGTCACCTTTTATATGTGATTCTTTGAAAGGCGTAATTGGTTTATTTGAGTAGTGCCTTATGGCATATTTCAAAGGTGATTTGACCTTGTTCATCTTGTAGTTGATTTAATCTGATTTTGGTTCAATTTGACGTTTATGATCATGAAAAAAAAGTGAAAAAAAAATTACTTCTACGAAATTAAACCACCCTATTTAACCAAAAAAATGGATAGAAAATACCCTTTGGAATCCCTAATTCTATCGAGGTCCTATGAGAACTCATCCAAAATCAATGAGCTATTAGAACAAAGATATGCTCTTAACGATAAACCATTCCTTGTGTTGAGACCTACAGAAGGTGAACGTGAAAGGGAACAAACATTATTGACAAGAGTGAAAAATAGTAAAATTCAACATCAAAAGAATCAAAAAAAGGATCAAACTAAAATCGTATTCAAGAGATATATCAAGAAATCTATATATTTACAGAAAAAATTGAAGTCAAGGTTGAATAAATCAAATATTGATGATGTTTGTAAATTAAAAGAGTTTAAGAAAATACCACATTTTGAAGATTTTCTTAAATTGAATGAATTATGGATTGGTTATATCCAAGATTTATTACAATTGGATCTACAAAATAAAAGGAACATAAGTGTGCCTCAAGTGTTGACAAAATTATCATCTGCAGATTATAATGGCTGTTTTTTAAGGGTATTGAAAAGTAAAAATTCTGTAAATATTGGTAAAAATGGGATAGTTATTTATGACTCCAAGAATTTTTTCATAATTGTGGAACCTAGAGATGCTAATGATCCTAAATCTATTGGTGGATTGAAAATGATTGAAAAAAAAGGTAGTGTTTTCAGTTTTGTTGTTCCATTGTTTGATATTCAAAATGAAGAAATTGATGCAAATGATGATAATTATCTTGAATTTTCAATAATTGGATCAAGATTCCAATTCAGAGCACCAGATCGATCAGGGAAGAAGTTTAAATCGAGAAATGTTGATGATTTATGAGTTACAATGTTGTTCACAAAATGTATTATAATATAATCTAAAAAAAAGGACACACACACACTTCAATCTTTATAAAAACTCAAGTTCAATTAAATATTTCAATCAGTCTGTCAATCATTTACCCTTTTTCAAAAACTTTGATTTCTTGGAACGTCTATTTGATTTATCATTGAATTCCTCATCCAACCCCATTGACTCATCATCAACATCACCAACAGCATTATCTAATGCATCCACTTGTTTCCTCAACACGTTTTTACTCAAGACACTTGACATTTGATAGTCAGTAACTTCACGTTCTAATTCATTCACATCCACAACGTCACTAGAATCAACTTTGTCCTTGTTGTTATTGTTCCCCTTGTTGCCATCGTGTTTAATTTGATGGGGTTTAGATGTTCTGCTCAAGGCAGCCACTTCAGCATAGGATAGTTTCTTGATATCAACCTCCACAAAGTCACCTTCTTCGTTATGGTTCATTGAGATGACTTTTGTCTTGTCAATCTTGTTGTTGTTGTTGATTGGTTGTTTCGTGTTTTCTGGGGCATTAACGGCAGCAGCTTGTTTCCAAAAATTGAAAGGGGTGTTGAATAAGTTTAGTTTGAACATTGTGGTAGATAATAATAATAAATAATAACGATTATAATAATGGTTTTCTTAAGGATTCCTCTTTAATTGATCCTTTTCCTGGTTCAAAACAAGTTCAAAATCTAATTCAAATCTCGGTTTCGATAACGAAAACGTCACAAAACAAAAAATAAACACGGTACGCACCACATCAGCCTAAATTTTAGGATTTTAGTTTAATTTTGACACATTTTTGAAATTTAAAGCAGTTGAGATTTTAATTAGCCTAGGTTGGATTGAATTAAGTTAAACTACAAGCAATTTAGTTAACTAAAAATTATAAATACTCTCCTAAAAATACAAGAACCATAAACGATATTTAATCCAGTGAATTAATAACAAATTACCAATCTATTGTGTGCAAGATAAAACAATAAAAAAGGTTGAAACCCTTTTATAAACTTTTAAATTCTCCATAAAATCATGACCAATCAATCTCTCCCTTACCAATCTCTTTCTTCTCTCCTCTCAACTCTCTCATTCCATCTACTTTCTACGGAATGAACAACCTTCAGTTAATCTAGCTTTACCACCAGTTGGTTGTGATAAGACAGTGGCACATGAATCACAAGTGACTGCAGTTTGAGCATGGGAGAAAACAGTGGTGATGTTCAAACAACCTGGACATTTGACATCCATAAAGAATGAACGTGGTGATTGAACCAATTGTTTTAATTTGTGTTTTCTAGCTTCTGAAGCAGCAGTTGGATGCAATAAATCTTGAACTAAAACCTGTGAAATAGTTAGTAAAACTGTATCAAATTTTCTAAATTTTTCAAGGGGAAAAGAATCATCAGCTTTGAGCATTAGAAAAAAACTGACAGAGGTTGCCTTTATATGATAGACATTTTCTGTTTTTACAATCACATTTTCCAAAATTTTCAACTTGTGAACTATAACTACGATTCACTTGGATACTTCTTCTCTTCTTGAAATCATTATTGTGTTGTTTTCTTACTCTTTGGATGTATTTTCATTCTTTATTCATGTTAACACTCTTGCCTTTTCTATTCCTGATCTGATTTCTACAAAACCCATGTCTCTCTCTGATTCTCTGATTCTCTCTGGACAAGCTCTCTCTTCTGAATACTCTTTTCTGACTTCTTTTCCCTCTCTCTTTCCTCTTATTGACGTACCATGTTGACACTATTGTTCTTATGAATAAAGAGCTTTTAATTCAATCTCTAGTTCAATTTGAAAAAAACAGGCGCTTGTAAATTTTAACCATGATTTTTTTTTTGGGAAGGCGAAAGAAAAAAAGAAAAAACAGGTCACATCACATCCGAACACCAAATGATGAGGAGAGATTAGGGTTATGATAATTATATCACGTGATTATATTTTTGATTTGATTAGGGCTCAGATCTGGAGATTTTCAATTTGACATAAACAAAGACAAAGGCAAAAGAGAATGAATTGATATTGAATTGGATACATTCAGGTTTAAAGTGGTTGGAAAGGTACAAAATGGTCTCCAAAGATCACTCTCCTCCTCCAAAAGCTCACAAGAAACATAAGCAATTACAGAAAATCAAATCAACATCACCTACAAGACAAAACATTTCACCAATTTTGAAACCAATTGATCAATATCTTGATGATTTAAATGACAGTTATATCACCGATTTCAAATCTGACATCTATTCAAACATATCCATAGTTTCATCTGACATTGATCGTCTTTCTCAAAGTTTCAATTCAAAAGTTAAGCGCCATTACCAATATTTAGTTAAACTATTACCAATTTTAATCATTTTCCTACCTTCATTGTTGAAAATATTCTTCCCCAAGATTATTAAATTTGGTAATTTGGAAATTGGTGATAATAATAACAATCCTTCAAATATACTTATTGATTTTTTTTCAATCTTGTTAATATGTTGGATAATAAAATTCTTGTTGGATTGGCCTTGGAAATGGTATTCACAAATTAATGAAATAAAGCAAAAATTGTATACATTATTGGAATCAGATGTTAATTCAAATAAAGACTTCACCAAATTAACTAATCAAAGTTTAACAATCCTTAAAATTCAACAAATTGTTTCCCTGATAATGTGTATTGGTTCTCCTTTCCTAAGTGGTGTTTTATTAGTTTTAGCAAGAGATTATATTGTGGTTATTGGTAATGATGAATCAAGTCAGGGGAAAAGCAGTTTGATTTTTTCTGATTTGAATATTGGGATTTTCGTTAGTTGTGGTATAATTAGAGTTATTATTCAAATTTCTGAGCATATTCAACAATCAACTGCATCTATTGAAATTAAAACTGAAAAACTGATTAGTGATTCAAATCATAAAAATTCTTTGGAAATTGAACGAAATAATAGTAACCGTGACTCAAATATGATTTTGGATAGATTAAATCATGTGGAACAACAATTAAACCAATTAACTCAAAAGTTTGATAATTTTTATAATACAAACAAATTAAGTATTGATAAAAATTTAACATTCCTTTCATCAAAACATTTTAAAATCCTTGAAAAAGAGATTAATGAATTACATTTCAACCTCCACACCAAAACAAATGATTTAGATAATAAAATCCATACAATGATGATATCACAAGACCAGTCACCCCAGAAAACAACAAACACACAACACTCTTCACTCCATGGAATCCCTTTATCACCAAAGAAACCTTCATATATTGGAGGTGGTTCAAATTCAAATAATTCATTCTTCCCATTGGAGCAATATTCGAAAATTTCCAAACAATTACCATCACCACTGTCAAGATTGGGTCAATTTTTCCCCCTTTTGGATGATTCAGATAGTAGTGATGGTAATGATAAAGCATCTAATGAAATTGCAATTAAAGAATTATCAAACCTTGATGCTATTCATAAATATGACCTAACTTCAAGACCTATAGTGGAATATTTATTAAATTTCCCATTTTTGTTCAGGAAATTAGTTTGGAAATTGATTAGTTATGTCCCTCTAAGTGTTTTGAAGAGTATTTATTTCATATTGTTGAGTATTTTGGATATTTTATTAGCAAAAGCTAATACTAATAATGATGAAAATGATGAGATGAAGGTTAAATTGATTAATAAACAACATGAGCCACTTTTTGATGAGTCTTTTGAGGAGATAATCACAAGATGAATGATGAGCTTATTCTAAGTTGCACTAGCTAGATTTAATGATAATTGCATGACTTAATGAATGTGTTTTTTCACGTAGTTGAAATTTTTTTATGTCAACTTTTCTCGAAGATAAAAACAAAAAACCAAAAAAACATAACAGAATTGATTAAATCTTGAACCAAATTCAACACCATTTTAACCATTAATTGTGACTTTTGAACAGGGCGGCTGGCCACCAATCAAGCAAGGAACAGATCAATAATCTCACAGAAAATGTCCACTGAAACAGACACCAAAACTCAGCAAAAACGCTCTCTGACGGATGTTGATATCGCTGATTTCATCAATTTAGTATCCAAAAAACGATTAAAACAAGTTCAAGAATCCCTTACAACTGATCAAATCGCTTCAATAGGATTCAGTGCTAGTCAATTGTATGAGGCTGTTAGTCGGATTGTGGAATATCCTACAAAGTTCCAAATCGATGATTTCAAACAATCAACTTCTGATAAAAGACTGTTGTATCTATTACAAAGTCCTGAAGTGCATTTAGCTCTAGAATGGAAATATCAATATGATTTAGGTAGATTGGATATTTTCAACAAGATTTTAAAATTTGATAAAAATGAAGGTTTAGATTTGAAAGATGATGATATTGTGTCGAAATTTATTAATAATGCTCAATATTTCTTACCATCAATTCCTCAAATTGAAGATGAAGAATTAAAGCAAACTTTCCATGATGGTGGAGATTTGAAACTGAACAATTTAAGCTCATATGGTAAAAGTTATTTCAAAACTATTGTGGATAGTTATCTAATTCAAAGATTTAGTGATCGTGAAATTAGAGACATGTCAGTTTATACAACAAATCCAAAAATTGCAACTAAATGGGCTCAACTTTATCAATTACCTCTTAATGATGATATTCCACCTGCTGATATGTTTTTCGCTTATATTGGTGCCCTAGCATCTGAAATCCCATATAATACTGATCGGGATTTGAAATCTGAGATTAAAAATTGGATGACTATTATTTTGGAACCAATCTTAATGTGTTTTGATAATGCAAATGAATTAAAAGTTAATGGTAAAGATGAGATTAGATCAAGATTAGGAAATGTTGAATTTAGAAACATTTATAAAAGTACACATCCTGAACCTATCTATATTGTTCAAATTTATGCTGGTGGTGAAATTTTGGTTGGTACAAGTAGCTCAAAATCTTTGGCTGAAGCTGAGGCAAAAGCTTCCACTGCTGCTCTTTATGATGCTCCATTACTTGATAAAGTTGAAAGAATCCTTGATGATATTAAAAGAGAAAGTATGTCAGTTTCTCCTTATATTGAACCTCAAGCTTATAATAATGGAGTCACAGGTGCTCCTGTTGGTATTGCTCCACAACCTGTTCATCCTCATCCAATATATCCAGATTACCAACAACAACAACCACAGCAACAACAACAACCTAATGGATACCCAATGGAACCAACAAACGCTGTTGTCCAACCAAATTATATGACACCTCAAGATCCAATGCAAGCATATCCACAAACTTTAATTAATGAAGAATATCAACGTAAATTACAAGAAGAAAGTGAATCAGTCTTGGAAGCACCTTCTGTCACAGATGAAGCTTCAATTGATTCATCATCAAAGGAAAAATTAAATCAATTGTTAACAAAAAGAAGAATTGGTCCCGCTGAATATAAAACAGCTAAATTGAATAATTCAGATGTTCAAGTAACTTGTTATATTGAAAACATTCCAATTGCTAAAGCCGTTTCCACCAACAAGAAAAAAGCTGGTCAAATTTGTGCACAATATATTTTGAATTATCCTGAATATTTCCTACAAAGATTTGCCGGAAGATAAATAAATTATTATATATTTGCTAAATTCATTAACAAATGCATGAAGTTATGACAGTTATTTATTCAGTCTTTATTCTTTTTTTCGATTCATTATCATGATCCTCCGTACTGGCTCTTCTCTTCCTAGTCCCAAAGTCACCATTAATCAACTCTGGATGATTTCTTTTAATCCAAGCAGATCTACTCTGTGGGTCTGTCTCTTCAACATGATCTTGTAAAAGATGTACAGCAAGATCAGTCAATGGATAAAGTTCCTCCAAATGCTTTGGGAAAGATCCATCATCTGTTATAAGCACCCCTAGTATTTTCTGTAGTTGCGGTTTTTGCGATATTATTGATTGTAAACGTTCTTTTGAATCTGATGTATCATGTTGATGATCGTGTAACCGATCTATTAATCCAAGGATATCTGTGATGGAACCAATCTTGTTGGATAATGAAATGTATTCTTTTCGAAGATTTGTATAGTTGGAGAAAAGGTTCTCTGAAGTGCCTATCACATTTGAATATTTCTTTGATAATTTTTCATATATTTTACTGATATTGTTAGATGGGGTTGATTGGGAAAAGCTCATGAATTGGCCAACTTACGCATAACTTTTCGGTTTTTTCAAGCTTTTCAATGGTTGGAAATCACTGATTTCTGATTTTGGCTCGTTATTCGTTATTTCTGATTTAGGCTCTGCGTCTGACATTGTATTGGCTTGGTTTTTTATCACTGTGTTTTATCAATGGTTTTGATGATGTTTTCCTCAACTTTTCGAATTATCAACACCTTTGTGAATTCGCGACACCAGTGCTACAAACCAGATACTATTCAATGCTTTTATTACTACTATTGCTGAGCAGCTTGTTTCTCATAGAACTCAACAACTTGTTCACTGGACGTGGCATCTTCAATGTTTTTATCGTCTCTGATCCTGATAAATCTTGGGAATCTTAGTGAAACACCACGACCAAACACTTCGGCACCAGCTTTATAAACAGGACTTAGAGATAAATCAGCAGTCAAGACTTCAAACAACATGGTTGGCTCAAACCAAACATCTGGCTCAGCACTGGAATCATAAGTATAATAACTTTTCGCCTCATCAATTTCAGTTTTGGATAGTTTTTCATATAATGTTTTCAACATTTCATCTGAAAACCCAGTACCAATTTTACAACAGGTTTCATATTCACCTGAATCTTGATTATAAGATGCTAATAAGAACCCACCATAAGTACCTGTTCTCTTACCACGACCATAATAAGCACCGACGACAACTAAATCTAAAGAATCACCAACACCGGCAAGATAATCTTTTTTCAATTTCAACCAGGAATTACTTCGTTGACTAGGTCTATATGGATCAGTATCTAACGTCTTCACCATTAAACCTTCACAGGCACTTTTAACAGATTCATCTAAGAATTGTTGAAGTTCCTCCATATCAGAAGTTATTTTACTAGTGGCAAATTGGAACTTCCCTGGTACAGGTTTCAACACTTTATAAAGTTGAGCTCTTCTTTCCCTTAGTGGTTTATTAATTAATGGTTCATCATTATAACACAACATGTCAAATGCGAAAAGACACACTTGAACTTTGATATCTTCAGTTTGAACATCTTTTCTTTTTCTAGTGGATAGCACTTGGAATGGTAGGATTTTTTCATCAACTCTACTCCATGCAACAGCTTCACAATCCAAAATTAATGATTTTGTAGGTTGATCCTCTTTTAGAAAACCTTTAACACTATCAATAATATCTGGATATCTTTGAGACATATCTTCGGAATTTCTTGAATAAACTCTAACTTCACCATTGTTTAATAAATGCACCTGGGCTCTTTCACCATCATATTTATATTCACATGTAAATTCTTCACCATTGAATCTATCCAATACTTCAGTTATAGCCTTTGTAGGTTTTGCCAACATTGGTTTCAATGGGATACCTGGTTTTAAAGTACAATGTTTACCCAAGTTCAAAACACCATATTTAATAGCAGTGGTGATTAATACTTCATAATTTGGAACTTGACAAAATGCATCCCTAATAGCTTCTTCAGCTTTAACAAATAACTCAGGTGTTATACTCTTCAATTTTTTACCCTCTTGTAACTTTTCATGTGTAACTAATGCCTTGGCTAATGATATCAAGACGGTCTTCTCAGCTAACCCAATTCTTAATTTCGATTCTAATGATCTAATCAAAAATTTAGCTTCTAAACCTTGAGATGCAGTCAACATTCTTTTAATAATGTTAATTTTCTTTGTTTGAGAATCTTTACCTGAAGCTTGTGAAATTTGCTTCAAATTTGCGAAAACGGTATCAACAGTTAATGGTTTTGGTTTAAACATTGTTGGTTGAACAGATCTCGCTTGTAATGCAATAAGACCCAAATCACCAGTTTCTCTATATTTGGCTTTAACATGAGCTGTTGATTTCCCTGTACTTTCACTAATTGTCTTGATTAAAATGGTTTCACCAAGACCTAGTTCTAAACCTTCATAATCAGGTCCTAACCTATTCATGAATAAATATGTTATTGGGACTAGGTCATTTGGATTTGTTTGCAAAACCTTAAGAAAGAAATCTGAAGTGTATTGAATAATTTCAAGTCTTTTGGTTGTTTGTTCAATTTTATCAAATACTTCCACAACGGCAGCATATGGAATTGGTTTATCAGATGTCATTTTAGTTTCTAGTTCAGTTGTTTCTAATTTTGTCATGTTGATGATTTTTTTGGCTTCAGCCATATCTTTCTTTTCAGTTTCTGAATCATATTCTAATTCATCTTGATCAGAATTTGTTGGTTCTTCATTTTCTTTTGGAGAACTTTTAGATACATCTTCCTTTGGAGATTCTTTAGAAGCATCTTGCATTGGTTCATCTTGATCCTTCTCAACTTGTTGTTCCAACTTTTCAGTCAATTTTGAATCTTGCTTATTTTCAACTGGAATTGTCTTAACATCAGCCTTTGGAGATTTTGCAACTTTTTGTTTCTTCCTTTCCGGGGAAGGACTTCTACTCTTTGGTTTCTTCTCTTTTGGTGCTTGATCTTTATCAGCATTCTTTTGCCTTGAAAGCATAGAAAATATATCACGTTGACCAGACATTATTCTTGCTTTATTGATGCTATGGTTTTTGAATTTACTCAGTAATAGAGGGTGAAGAGAGCGATGGAATAAGTTGGGTATCCTTGTCAAAGTGAGTCCTCTTCTGATCCAATTGAATCTATTCATGAATTTGGAGTGACTTCCTGGAGGTTTAAAAAATTGATGTTCTGTTTATTTGTGATTTTTTCACGTATATGAATTTTTCGTGTCTCTCCAAAAAAGCGCGTCTTTGATGGTGGAAAGAGTTTGAAATGATAGTTTTGAGGTGAATTTGTTTGTTAATGGTCTTTTGAAAGTAAATGATTAAAAATTTTCAAATTGAATTGATATATTCACCACTTCTTACAAAATTTTTAGCCATTTTTATCGTTTATGACCAGTCATTTTAATCAAATCGTAGTGTCACAAAATATCAAAAACTCCCCAAAAAGGAAATTCACCAAATCTGTAATTCGCGAATTCAATTTAAAAAAGAAAGTGATTAACAACCAAAAGCATTTTAAAGGCTTTGAAAGTCAGAAATTTTGCACTTCAAGGTGTTAATCAGCTTTAGATTTCCTAGTTCAACGGTCTTTCTCGTACTAATATAGCTGCTGCTTTATTCCCTATTTACACCCACGTTACAGGTATTTTTTTTGGTGCTTTAAATCAAAAAGTCCTTCTCTGGTGGCTAAATTATTGGAATTGACAATGGCTAACAAGAGAAGACCAAAGAAGGCCAGGGTCCCCTACAGACGTTATGGGCCTGGTGGTGTCATAATCAGGAGTGACAACAATAACAAAACACATGGTTCAAGTGATGATGAAGACGAAGAAGAGGAAGAAGTCAAACAAAGTGACGTTGTGAAGAGTGGCCACTATGATTTATCTTCAACTAGTGCCTACTCTTCAACTTGGCCTGTTTCTAAATTTCAAAAGATTGATGTATTGAAATTTGCAATCATTGGTGAAAAGATCAAAAAAGGTGAATTGGTTGAATTCCCTGTTGATTTTGGACATTCAAATCATCAAAATATGACCAGCACTGATGACAAAAATCTTAAATTACCAGTTGAGATCTTACATTTGATTCTAAAATATGTGGAAAAGATAGATCCTAAATACTTAAGGGTTTGTAAGCTGTTTTATCATCTTTATGCACCAATTTTATATGAAAGACCACAATTAGATTCCTATAATTTTTTCCAATTTGTGGAAACTCTAAGTTCAATCAAAAATAAAGTTGGTAAACTCGTTAAAGTTTTAGATTTATCAACAATTATCCAAAGTGGTAAGAATTCATATGTTTCTAAATTGCTTAGAAGATGCTCAGCTAATTTGGAAGTATTTGTGGCACCTCAAACGAGTTTTGGTTATGCACCATTAGTTAGTTTGAGAGGTTGCAAAAAAATAAAAGTTCTTGATCTAAGACTTGTCAGTGAAACAATGAATTTGAAGGAATTATTTTATTCAATCAAAAACTCAACAGATTTAACCCACTTGTCATTTCCAAGATCTTCTATAACATGTGAAACCTATGATGATACATTTTGGCCTCCAAATCTATGGTACTTGAGATTAAGTGGTGGTATATCAGATGATTTCATAATGAGTTCAACTTTACCAAAATCAATCACAAGATTAGAATTTGCCCATTGTCCATTATTGAAAGAATTTGCCATGTATCAACTATTGGCAAAATTTGGTGAAAATTTAACACATTTATCAATCCAATATCCAATGCCAGGATTAAATGAACAATCAATGGATTATATCTTTACATATTGTCCAAATTTACTTTTTTTACAAGTCACTGTGGATTATTGTTCGAGATTTTTATTTTCAGAGGATTTATTGCCAAAATTATTCAACAAAGAGAGACCTTTGAAAACATTATGGATTGATTCAAGTGGTGCATTGGGTCAAGGTACTAAAATCCATCCTGATGATTTAACAATTGCCCTGATGGAGGATAGACTACCATGCTTGAAGAATATTAGAATCACTTCAAAATTAGGATGGGATCTAAACAGTGATGATGTTGGTGATTTAATCAATGTTCTTGAAGAACGTGATGGTGGACTTTACATCAATTATCATTAAAAAATCAGCTTCTCCTTTCATTTTTTTATGAAACTTTTTCATATTTTTACACAATTTACCCCTTTTTACGACGTTATGACTTCCCCTTTTAATATTACTGTTATTGTTATTCTGAAAAATCATTTTACTTGTATAATTTAATTCATTTATATTGGAAATAAAAATTATGTAATCATAATAACGCGGTACGTGCACTCCATCGCCAAAAATTCGCGCCCTTTCAAAAATGACAGCGAAACCAAATTTCATTACAATTGTCAACGTTACAAAACATTTGAAAAAGGTGCCAACTAACCAAGACCAATTGGATCTAAAGGCCATATTATAGAAAATAATGGCTAAGAAGAAAGTTATCACACCTCCAGGTGCGAAAAAAGTGCAAATCAACAATACAACAACCACATCATCATCATCAGAATTACCACCAAATTATAAAAAAGGTATAAAGAGACCATATTTCTCCACAATAATCCCAGAAAAGGACATCCTCGATGCAAAGAGCACAAAGTTTGATTACATTATAGTTACTCTCCTAACAATACTTGGTTTTTATATCAGAATCATAGGAATAAACAAACCAAACTCAATAATTTTTGATGAAATCCATATAGTTCGTCATGTTAATGATTATTTAAACGGGACTTTTTTCCTTGATATAACACCACCATTCAGTAAGATGTTTTATGCATTTATAGCTAGAGTATTGGGTTATAAAGGTGATTCAACAAATTTAACAACACCTGGTCAAAGTTTCCAAAATACTGATTTCCCATTCATTGGTCTAAGAACTGTTTCTGCAATCTTGGGTGCTGGTGTTGTTCCTTTAACTTTTTTCACACTTAGAAGTACTGGTTCCAGGCCATTAATTGCTGGGTTTGGCTCATTGCTTGTTGTTTTTGAAAATTCTTTTATTGTCTCTTCAAGATTATTTATGGCTGATTCTATTTCATTATTCTTGTTAGCATTAGGGATCTTTGCATTTAAAAAATTTCAATTAACTTCACCATTCACTAAGGATTGGGCAAGATTTTTGGTTTTGACAGGTATTTCATTAGGTTTAGGGATTTCTACAAAATGGATTGGATTTTCCACTATTGTATGGGTTGGTATTATCACAGTACAACAATTGTGGTATTTATTTGGTGATATTGAAGTTTCAAACTGTAAATTAGTCAAACATGTTTCATCAAGAATCTCATTATTATTGATTTCACCAATTGTGATATATTTAGGTGTTTTCGCTATTCATATTTTGTTATTAAACCAAACAACCCCAGATTCATCATTATTAACTACCCATTTCCAACGTACAATGTCTGGTAATGATATTTATGATTTACCTAAATACGTCACATTTGGAAGCACAGTTACACTTAGACATTCAGAATCACTTGGTGGGTTTTTACATTCACATCCATATCCTTACAAGAGTGGTTCACATAATCAACAAGTTACAGTTTTTGATTATAAAGATTATAATAATGAATGGATCATTGAACCAACTGGTAATGTTGATGAGAATGACAAGAGATTAAGAGGTGATACTGTTGTGAAATTAAGACATAAAAACACTGGTGCTTTATTAAGAGTTGATAATTTTAAACCACCAATCTCTGAACAAGAGTATGATTTTGAAGTTAGTTGTTTTGGTGATTATGAATACCAAGGTAATGATACTGATGTTTTCTTGTTGAAGATTGATGATGATTCCAAATCAAAAGATTTTGTTAAATCATCAGAAACTCAATTTAGATTATGGAACAAGAAGAAGAGATGTACAGTTATAAGTCATGATTTGAAATTACCAGAATGGGGGTTTGGACAACAAGAAGTGTTATGTATTGAAAGTCCAACTGTTGCAAGAACTTTATTTACAATTGAAACTGTTAAATATCCTCAAGATGTTGATTTCACTGGAAACCCTGAATTATTGGAAAAAGTTGAAGAGATTAAGCCATCATTTTGGTCAAAATTCCTAGAGTTGAATACTAAAATGATGAGAATTTTCCAATCCATAAAGCCAAAAAACAACAATTCACCAGATCCATCAAGTTGGCCAATGTTACCAAGTGGGTTAAGATATTTCACAAGACCTAAATCGGCAATATATTTCATTGGTAATCCAATCATTTGGTGGTTAAGTATTATGTTGATGCCAAGTTTTATATTTATTAGAATTGTTGATTTTTTCCGTATTGATAATAATACAAACAGTATTAGATATAAAGCCCATACATTGACTTTCCTTGTTGGTTGGTTTTTACATTTTATTCCATATGTTATAAATGAAGGTGAATTTTTCATTTCATATTATATACCTTCATTATATTTTGGGATTTTAATAATTGGATCCACATTTGAATATATTTATTTCAAGAATGCCAAATTGGGGAATACGTTGATTGTTATCACAATATTATTTGCATATTATTTCTATTCAACACTAACACCAATAACATATGGATCCAATTGGGATGTTACAAGTTGTCAACAATCAAAATTATTAGATACATGGAACTACAGTTGTGATATATATAAATGAATTAAATAGATGATGATTATAACCCTCTTCTTGAATCTATCAAATCCTTGGAGAAATCCGATATTAGCCCATTACACCATTCTAATAACTCATCTTTTTGCCTTATCTTTTCCACTTTTGTTTGTTCAATTGAAACCAATTCATTTTGTAATTCTTGTATTCTCGATATTTGATCCCTTGGAGAAACACCAGCCCCTGGTAAGGACGTTATCAGTGCCAGGATCTGTCTAGTTTTCAGTATTATGTCAGTGGATAGCTCATTCATTGTGGATTGGAACTCTTTGGGGTCTGCAACTGTTGCTTGAGCATCAGCCATTTTCTCTTCATCTTGAGCTGGAACGAAATCGTGGTTCTTGTCAACGTAGTTTAAAGTGGCACAGAATTGCTCCACGAGCTGGTCCAGGCAAATTTGCAATTGTGTCAATCTGTCAGCCATTTCCAATCAATTTGTTAAGAATTCAATTTCTTAATTTTGTCAATTTTGGTAATGTTGATGTTTTTGTTTTCTGTTTGGAATTTTAAATCTGTTTTTTTTTCCATTTTCTCGAAAACAAACCATTATTCAATTAATACCCATAGCTGAAAACCACCAAATGCCTGGAAAAGACCCTGAAATAACTGAGAAACTAGAGTCCTTGACACTCTCTGATGATTTGTTACCTAATTACACAACTGTTCTCGAAACAACCAGTGAGAAAGACCAATTATTGATAAAATACCTCTCATTATTGGATCAATACAATCAAGCTGTTGAGCAGTTAAATCATGAATTCAAAGAGGGTTATATCAACTTATCAAGAGCCAATTATGCAAATACTAGTGTGGTGAAGCCGTATGGTAGAGATTGTTGGGATGATCGAGTCAAGGCTATCAAGAAAGTGTCGATTGGTGATAAAATTGAGTTGATTGATGTTGAAGAGAAGGTTGATAAGGTCAAAGATGATGATGAGAAAGATCAATCCATAAGGAATAGATCCAAGAAGGTGGAGGAAACTTCAACTAAGAAGAAGAAGAAATACAATCCGATAAATATGTTTGGAGTATTGGTCCCTTTACAACTTCGTCAATCTCAAACACATTTTAATAAATCTGTTATTCAAATGATTTCAATTGTTAATCTACGAAATGAATTGATATCAATGGAGGATGAGCTAAAAATAAAAAACATAGATTTGGAAAAGAAAGTTGATTGTCTATAAAACTCATATACATAATGAACAATGAAAGAACATAAACAAAGAAAGAAAGAAAACAAAAATACATTGATTAAACTCCTTGAAAACGAATGGAAACAGGTAACTAATTGTGGAAAAAAAAGACGCACACTGGATTGAGAGAGTTCATAATTGTTGATCATAAAAAGTAAACGAATGGCATGACACAGTAAAATAGTAAAGGGAATTCATGGGATCATTGAAGGTAATAAAGTTGAAATATGATGTTGTCTTGGAGTTGATTCGATTTCTTCATCATCTTCAAATTCTTGATCAGTTTCATAAATTTCAGGAACTTTATGAAATTCAACTGATGTTGTTTTGGTATAATTTGAATCATTTGTTTTAATTTTTTCAAATTCTTCAATAAATGATAAATATTTTGGATCTTGATGATCGTAGAAGTTTTCTAATCTTGATAATCTTGAGAATTTCGCAGCTCTTAATGATGCTAAAGTTTCATTAAATTCATCATCTTCATCAACTTGATCTTGGTGGTTATTAATCAATTGAGTAAAGTCATCGATTGAATTTATAATCTCATTTAAATTATTCTCATCTCTATTAAATGAAACTTCCAATTCATTTTGGAAAAGATTGATATCAGATCTATATGGAGAATAAGAAGGAGAACCACTTATTGAATTTGATCTTTTCAATGGTTTAACAGGAGATATCATTGATTTTGGTGATAAATCTTCATATATCCAAGATTGACGCACTGCAGATTTTAAATCTGGTGTTCCCCAATTTATTGAATCTTTTTTAGATTTATTTGGGAATTTAAAATCATTAGTTGTATAATCATTTGAACATTGTTTTGAAATTTGATTTTTTTCCAATTTTTTCAAATTTTCAATTGAACTTGATGAATCTTGATGTTTATGTTGATTTGTAATTGGTATGATTGAATTTTTCTTTGAATGGGTTTTAGATGAAATTGTGGTGGCCATTGTGGAAATTGATGCAGATCTTGTAAATAGTTGAGAAGATGGAGTTCTTGATAATGAAGTTGCATTTGAAATTGATCTTGGGATTTGCTTTGTAGTGGTGGTGGTGGTGTTGATTTGAGGAGATGTACAAAATGCCTTTGCAGAAGTTGAAGTTCTATTTGATTGACTTGGTTCATCAAGTTCATCTTGTTCTTGAGGTTGAATCTCTGATAATTGATTGACAGTGATTGTGGCACCAGGTTTATTATCAATATGAGAAACATGATTGAATCCAAAAGGTGTAGAGATTTTTCTTTTAACTTTCTTAACAGGAGCTTTAGATTGATCATTATTTAAACCAAATTTTTTAAACATCTTGTGTAGTTTATTGCTACTCTTTGCTGATTCATCTTCATCTTTTAAGCTATAACTGAAAAAGGAACTTGGTGGTAATGGAGGTAATTCAATGTTCTCTTTGGAAGATAACAATGGGACTTGACTATTCAATATTTTCAGATTGGGATCATTTAAATGGAATTTTGAAGATTGTTCATCTTCGACCCAAATTGAGTGTATATTTCTGATATCCATACTTGATTTGACTTTTAATTCAGTTGAATAGAATGAAAAGGTTATTAAATGAATCTTTGATCCACTTTTTTTTTCAATGAACAGTTTTATGATTTCTGTACAATTTGTACCTTAAATTAATTTTCAGTTTTTTTTTAGTGCCAACCGACGCGATTCCGTTTCAGGAAACTGACGCGTTTAATTATGAAAATTTTAAAGGGATAAGCAGCTGACTGATCGACGAATTAGTTATATCATAAGATATTTATATTAGTGGGAAAGAGGTTAAAGGAGTTGGAATATGGTTGAATTGATGGGAAATTTGGAATCTAGGGTATCAGTTTTGGTATATCTCGATTAAACTGTGTGTGTTTTCAATTATGTCTCGATGAATTATCCTAGACTTCCCTTTACGGTAAATTATATCAATTTATATGCTCTACAGCCATTCTTTGGATCATCATTAAAATCTATTCATTCCTCTTCAACTTTTTAAAATGTGCTTTAAATACATCACCACCATTTATCTCATTAATATTCCTTTTATTCAAATCTTTATCCTCCTCTACAACATCTTCACCAATCATCACTGTTTGCTTGTAACTCTTGATTCTTAATCTCCCATTCAACAGAACTTTTGAAGCTTTATCAATCAAATTATTCCCATCTGATTGTTTAAAATTCAACAATTGTAATAAATTTAAAACATCAGGAAAAGACCTCAATTCCACACTTTGTTGAGCACCACTTGATACAACTAGGTTTTGATTTCTTGAAGCTCTTATTAAATTCAATGTATTATTTATAAATTGTGGTCTATTTTCATTCTTAAGGAAATTTGAATATGTAATTTCAAATTTAACACCTCTTTTAATAGCAGCACCAATTGTCTTTTGTTTTAGAAAAGTTGGTAATTTCTTGGAATAATCAAATGTAATCAAATCAATATCTAAAGAATTACATGCTAATAATAAACCTTTTTCTGAGATTGGTAATACAGAAACTATATCAAATCCATTTTGTAGTTTTGATATACTTTGACCCTGGGAAGGTTCATCCACTATGATTGTTACTCTTGTATATATTTTTAATCTATTTTGGAACTCTTTTAATAGGTCCAAGTTTATTGGATTTATTGTTTGATTTGATGGTATTTTATCTGAATGATTTAAAGTATAGTTTAATGCTATATGGGTATAACCTAATTCTTCTAGTGTTACCAATGTGTTTTTCAATTTCACTATATCATTATGGGAAAGAGGCGTCTGGTAGTTCTTTTGTGGCCAATGGATGTTGAGATCAATAAGCATTTTGTTTATTCCATTTAATACTCAACATCTATTCAAATTTACATTCAAATTTTTTTTAACAGAAGAAACAAAAATTAAAAAAGATGAAAATATCCTGATCCGGTAATTACTCTTTTCAGCTATAATTATTTCACCTTCCCAAATAGGCAGCACCCTTTTTCTTTCCTTTTTCCCTTCCGGGCACGCCCCGGAACAATTCTCTGCGTTTTAAATTTTAAGCTCGACGTCATGATGCTTGTTTTTTTTTAATCCGGTTCCTTTTTGCAAATACGTAAAAGTTTTTTTTTCGATCAACAGACGTTTTTTAGTTGAGAATGGGATGTGGTGGGCAAAAGTATATAAGGACGAGGGATTCCCCAGAAGCTGGAGAGCATTATCACGATGATGGTATTCAAGACGATAATTAGTTGATCCTGCTGAATAATATCCAAGGGCTAGATCGATCCACATTCACTAATCACATTACAAATTACTATAGAGTTATAAAGACAGAGAATCCATCTCTCATCAGACTTATTTTACACAACTATGGCCACCATGAGCACTGAATTACCACCTACTTATAATGAAGCCGTTGCTGGGTTCATCCCACCTCCAGAATATCAAAACTCTATTGATCAATCCCATTTATCACATGGCGCTACACCAGCTACTAGTTCAAGTACAACAGCCGCTTCATCAACTCCAATACCCACAAACTCTATGGCTAGAGAAGAGTATTATCAAAGTAAAAAATTGAACTTGGTGGTTCTTGATGATTTTAATGAAGATCCAAGAGATGTTGAAATGTTGAATATACCAAATGATGAATATATATCCAAATCAGATGATGAATTACAAGATTTATATCATTCAATCTATACAATAGTGGAGGATAAATTCATCCAAGTTAAAAGAAATACTGAATTTGTTCATAAGAAAGTTAGATCTATGTATGATCATTATTATATTAATCAATTAAGAAATAATACAATTGAAGATTTCATTAAAATAAAGTCCAAATTAGAGAAAGAGTTGAATTCATTACCTCAGATTTTCCAATATTATAAAGAGTTCAACCATCTTTATGATTCAGTCACAAATGAAATCAATGCATTAAAATTTGAATTGGAAAATTCTATTGATCCTGAACATATAACAAGTTCTGAAGGTGAATTATTGGCAAAATCAAGTTTATTAACTACAAAATCCAACATGTTGAAAAAAATAAGATTCAATCTAGCTCAAATTGATGAAAAGATTAAAGATTTAAGTGATACTGAAGAAGTTAGTTATGTCTTGAAAGAAAGAGCAAGAATTTATAATTTGGCTACAGATTTTGTCAAGAATCAATCATCAGTATGAAGGCATACCCATTCATCCACAACTTATTTATTTATTCATTAGCATTTACACAACACATACAACATATTCAATCACCAGTGGTGACCACATCACTTCACTAATAGATAATTATACTACACTAATATATATATTGCTTTTAGTTAATTACCCATGTGTAGCCTCTATCCCTTATGATAGCCTATAGCCTATGAGTTAGCCTATGGGGTGTTTTAAGCTTTTCGTGCCTTTTCTTTTTCGGTTCATTTCTGCTCTTAAAATTTCATCATTTTGCGCTTAAAAAATTGCACTTTCCCGGAATTGAAATTAAAAGACGTCATTGACACGGTAAGGAATGACAGTACGGATATTATGTAACGTTGTAAATCAAAGAGTTGTTGGATTACGAGAAGAAGGACAATAGGAAAGGTGGGTGGAGTGCAGGTAAAGTGTATTAGGAGAGCTTGAGTGTTGTGTATGGTTGACATTAGTTGGCTAGAAGCTTGATGGACTGGTTGAGTTGCTCAAGCCTTTGTCCTTTTTGAGTTGAATGCTCTCATGAATATCATTATGAAAACCATCATTAACCCTGGCATATAAAAAGGTATAAAAGGAGCGCAGAATTAGGATGAAATAATATCAATCATTTATACCATTCCAGTATGGTCTTGGGCACTTGGTAAGTATCAATGGAGCTTTCAAAACACTGCTATGGCACAAAGAGAGAAAGAGCATGAAATTGAATCATTGACGATTTTAGATGTACTTTAAGGCCAACATTTTACTCGCACCTAGTTTAGAATCCCCAAACAACTGAATTATTGTGTGGCGTGCCTTCTTATCATTATGTATGAGTTAATATTAAACCAAACCATGTCAGGGCCAGCCTAGGGTCCAAATCTAGGCTATGAAGTTGGAAAGCTTCAAATGATAGGCTGAAAAGAATTTAGAGTATAATGTCCAGGTCGTTGAATATGGGTGATTCCAATTCATCAAAGTACAGTTAATGATTCAGTTGTTGATTGGGAGTACCTCTTATAGTGTGATGAATAGAAGAGAACTTACTTAGTGAAATATCATTTTTACTAACTTCAACCATGGGCAGATGATCGGAATATTAAGCTGTCATACTTGTATAATCATATTGCTAAATATTCTGCTTGGCGTGTATATTGGGTTTATTGAATAAATATCTGGGCAATTGAACAATGTCGTAGTTTTTTGTGACATAATTTGCTTCCAAGTTGAACCCTTAATAATTTTGCTAAACTAAAACCATTTATGTTTCTCGAAGCAAAAGGAATGGGATAGTATAGCCAAGCTGCGATTAAAGTCGTTTGGGTAGCTTTGGAAGTTTTAGTGTCCAAATGGTTTTCTATACCATGTTCTGCATAAGTCAGGTATAGATTTGATCTGTATTATAAAGAACAATGGGAGCACAAATCAGTCAGTGTCATTGCTTTCCAATAGCCTAGGATTGTTTGGTTGGGCTAGTTGATACTTGCAATGTCTTAAGTTGATGTGTTCGACAGAAACATTGGTGTTAGTGAACGGTTTCGTACTCATTCGTACAAATATTCTTCGATTCTATAGCTTTTAATGAAGAAAAAAAACATTTATTCAATTGAAACAAGAAATCCACAGTCAAATTATTTCATCAACTAGGTAAAATTTCTATTTCAAAAGAGAATTCAATATAAAGCATTGAATTAGATCTAGCTATAGGAAATTCAATATTGAAGATTGAACTAAGATGTAGTTGCATTGTAAAACAAATATTGATCCCACGCTGATGAACGAGTCTATTTCCACACAAAACCACGGTTACTAAGAATATGGCATTCAGATCAAAAGACACATTGTATCAAGTATGTAAGATGTAAGACTGTTAATGAAAAACTTAAACCTTATCATTGTAAATCACAATTAAAAAAAGCGGAGGACTTTATAAGCACAAACACTGAGATCAATAGACCTCACTAAGGTGTTGAAAACAATTATCAACAAGCTTAGTATATCAACCATGATGCCTAAATATCAGTGCTCAGATAACGGATCAAACATCAAAAACCACGCTGTACATCTAATTCTAGCTGAAACAGGTATGCAACAGTATTCTCAGGAACTATTTTCGATTAGGGAACGAGGGCAATACGTTCATGAGAATTAAAAAAGAAAACACATTACTGAACCGATGTGCAGTGACAGAATAATAATTATTTACCCTGTCTTATCACATTGTAAATTTCAATTCACATAATTAGAAACTACGATTACTACGTTAAACAATTGCCATCAAGTACAATGCTAATGTCATTTCCCAAACTAAATGGACTCATTATTCACTTTCAACTAGCTCACTTCTGGTTCTTGACAGGAGTGCGTCAATCTTGTTAAACTCCAATTTGGTTTCATCCAGATGTTCCAAAGAAGCAGTATCTGATATCAGAGAACTAGCCTTCAGTTTTCTCCTTTTTTGATCAGATTTTTTTGGCTCTTCCTCATCCTCAAGAAACTGATTGTAAATTTCTGTTGCCAAGAGTATTTTAGAATTGAATTTTTGGTCAAAAGTTGGTTCTTCACTTTGATTATAAAGTTGGCTGTCGTCAACAATGTAATATTGAATGTTAGCAATCAATTTGCGTTTCCCATTGCTTTGATCATCACCATCATTATTATTATTATTATTTTGTCTTCTTCTTCTCCTATTATTTTGAGGTTCTTCTGTGAAACGTTTTGGAAATTTGATAAATAGACTCGTTTCAAAGTCAATAATTGTTCCAGACTTTTGGCCTGCGATGCACAAGGCATAACTATATGTTTGAATAAGGGACTTGTTGATCACAGTTTTGTTGAAATGTTCTGGGCTGTTTAGGTCTATCAGAATCCTGGGTGTTTTGTATTCGAGTAGCAGGTACCTCATGTTTGAATCATATCCATTTTGGATTTCATTTTCATCCAACAACGTTATATCAGGATATAATGTTATTTTTGATTCTGACTCTAGTGCTTTCAATCTTTTTTTAACTAATCTGCTGGTGGTGGTGTTTTGCAAGTTTTGGTAATCAAATGAAAGCTCTTTACCTGTGGATGCCAATTTTGTACCAAAAAGGTAATTGATGAAATCCAGAAGAGGTGACACTACTCTATTATTATGTTCGGACTTCAAATCAAATTCTTTCTTTTTTGCAACTCTATATTCTCCTTTTAAGCTCTTTTTAATGGATGATAGGAGATCAGTTAACACCTCAACATATGAAAATGGATTTGCTTTTTGTTTCAATATTCTTTTTATTTTTGTTTCTAATTTTTCAATAACAGGCAGGAAAATTAACTCAGGATCAATCTTTGATGGTATGAATTTCATTTTTCCTAAATTATTTGTCACTTTATTGATACTGGATCCAACCAGATCAGTTGATCCTCCAAGATCATCAAAATCAACCACGTTTGAAGATCCAGGAACCAAAAACCAAAATTTCCATAAATTATAATAAACTTCTTCACCAAAATCTCCAGCAATAATTTGAGTTATACCCCTGATACTCTTTTCGTCTTTTAATCTCGGGTCTGTATTTTCAATTTCCAGCTCAATGAATTTGCAGAGCTCAACCAACAATTCGCTAATTGAGAAACCCCCTGCTGAAACTTCTGACAATAATGACTCTTGATTTGTTCCATTCAGGCGCGACTCATGAAAATTTCCTAATAGCAGCTGGTAATTAATCTCCATCAATGGTTTCGTGAATTCACGTTTAATATTTAAAAGTAACTGATCTCTATTATCCTGGAGAAACCCTGACAATCTTATTGAGTGCAACGCATCACCGCCAATTACATGGGTCTGCTCAGCATCTGACGAGTCTGACATCCTCACAGTAACGTAGAACAAATATGCTTTAAAGGTTTACTTTATTGTCTAATTCTCGAGAACATTATTCAAAATTTTGACACATTGATATATTGGTCGGCGCACTAATAGTTTGATTACGTAATTTTCCTGCTTACTTTTTTTTTTTTCAGTTGTTTCTATTTGGCTGAAAAAAAATGAATCAGTCAATCGATCAATCAGTCATAATGATATTTTTGCATCTTGACAGCTTTTGTTTTGAGCGTAACTAGTTTAGCCAAAGTCCAGAAAATGCTGAGTATCAGAACAAACACTGCTGCCAGACAGCTACGCCACAGAGTTCAAGTGAGTATTCAAGAATGTAATGGTGGATATGTCCCATTCTTATCGGACTGAGTCATAAATATGTATCGGTGGATCTAAGAGGAATATCCATGCTCAACAGCAACAACAACAACTAACTCTTCTAGATACGAACACTAGCTTCAGCTGCTGATCTTACCACCAGAATCCCAGAAGACTACAAGTCAAGAGTCCCTCCTTATCCAAAATTGGTTTCCAAGTTAAATCAAGTTAAACAAATCTTAAATAATACTCCATTAACTTTAGCTGAAAAAATTTTATATTCACATTTGGTTAATCCTGAGGAAAGTTTAGCCAAAGGTGATGTTTCTCAAATTAGGGGCCTTGAATATTTGAAATTAAACCCAGACAGAGTTGCTATGCAAGATGCTTCTGCTCAAATGGCTTTATTGCAATTCATGACATGTGGATTACCATCAACTGCAGTCCCTGCTTCAATCCACTGTGATCATCTAATCGTGGGTAAAGATGGTGAGAAAAAAGATTTAAAATCTTCAATCGCTACAAATAAAGAAGTTTTCGATTTCTTACAAAGTTGTGGTGAAAAATATGGTATCCAATTTTGGGGGCCTGGTTCTGGTATCATTCATCAAATCGTTCTAGAAAACTTTAGTGCACCAGGTTTGATGATGCTTGGTACCGATTCTCATACTCCAAATGCTGGTGGGTTGGGTGCTATTGCCATTGGTGTTGGTGGTGCTGATGCTGTTGATGCCCTAACTGGTACCCCATGGGAATTAAAAGCTCCAAAGATCTTGGGTGTCAAATTGACTGGTAAAATGAATGGCTGGACTTCTCCAAAGGATATCATTACTCATTTAGCTGGTTTATTAACAGTTAGAGGTGGTACTGGGTTTATTGTCGAATATTTCGGTGAAGGTGTTGAAACTTTATCTTGTACAGGTATGGCAACCATTTGTAATATGGGTGCAGAAATTGGTGCAACAACTTCAACTTTCCCATATCAAGAAGCTCATAAACGTTATTTACAATCAACTCATAGATCCCCATTAGCTGAAGCTGCTGATGAAGTCAATGCCAAATTTGGATTCTTAAAAGCTGATGAAGGTGCTGAGTATGATAAAGTTATTGAAATCAACCTTTCAACTTTAGAACCTCATGTTAATGGTCCATTCACTCCAGATTTATCTACTCCAATTGGTAAATTTGGTTCTACTACAAAAGAAAACCAATGGCCTGGAAAAGTTAGTGCAGGTTTAATCGGTTCTTGTACAAATTCCTCTTATCAAGATATGTCAAGAGCTGTTTCATTAGTTAAACAAGCTGAAAAAGCTGGTTTAAAACCAAAAATTCCATTTTTCGTCACTCCAGGTTCGGAACAAATTAGAGCCACTATTGAAAGAGATGGTTTGATTGATACATTCACTTCAAATGGTGCTATTGTCTTGGCTAATGCTTGTGGACCATGTATTGGTCAATGGGATCGTGTTGATATCGACAAGAAATCAAGTGAAACTAATTCAATTTGGACTTCTTTTAATAGAAATTTCAGAGCAAGAAATGATGGTAATAGAAATACTATGAATTTCTTAACTTCTCCAGAAATGGTTACTGCTATGATATATTCAGGTGACTCAAATTTCAATCCAATTACTGATTCAATTAAAACTCCAACTGGTGAAGAATTTAAATTTACTCCTCCAAAAGGTGAAGAATTGCCAGGTCAAGGTTTCATTGCTGGTAGAGAAGAATTTTATCCAGAATGGGCTCCAAAACCTAACTCAGAAGTTTCCATCAATGTCAGTCCAGACAGTGATCGTTTACAATTATTAGAACCTTTCAAACCTTTCAACGGTAAAGAATTAAAACTTTCAGTCTTGTTAAAAGTTGAAGGTAAATGTACAACTGATCATATCTCTGCTGCTGGTGTTTGGTTAAAATATAAAGGTCATTTAGAAAACATTTCATACAACACTTTAATTGGTGCTCAAAATAAAGAAACTGGTGAAGTTAACACTGCATATGACTTAGATGGTAAAGCTCATACCATTCCTGAATTAATGATCAAATGGAAAGAAGAACAAAGACCATGGTGTGTTGTTGCTGAGCATAACTATGGTGAAGGTTCTGCGAGAGAACATGCTGCTTTATCTCCAAGATTTTTGGGTGGTGAAATGATTTTAGTCAAATCATTTGCAAGAATTCATGAAACTAATTTGAAAAAACAAGGTATGCTGCCATTAACTTTTGCTAATGAAGCTGATTATGATAAATTAAGCCATGGTGACGTTTTGGAAACTGTGAATTTGGTTGATATGCTAAACAAAAATGGTGATAATGGTGGTATTATTAAAGTCAAAGTTACCAAGTTGAATGGTGAAACTTTTGAAATTGATACTAAGCACACAATGTCAAAAGATCAAGTTGATTTTTTCAAAGCTGGTTCTGCAATTAATCATATTGGTAACTTACGTCGTGCTGAAGCTGCCAGAAAGCAATAGTTTATTAAAAATAGTTAGAGAAAAGGTGTATATATAGTTATAAAAGCCTATGCTGCATTAATCTGTAATATCTACCTTTTTTAGGTCTATGTTATACCAAGCTTTCATATTACTTTTTAGTTGATGTATTTGATGAACTTGGATGAGGAATGCAATTACGCACGAACCGCTTGGATTGTAGGCTTCTCGCTATGTTGGAATTCAGGCTTCCTTATAATATCCTTCTCAGCCAACTGAGAAAACCCATTCTCCACCACGGAACAGTGTGGGACTCGCCTCTTGTTGATGATTGTATTTGATGAAGGCATTTTAATATATTAATTAATTATACACATCATGAGATTATATTATTACGTCGACGTTTAATAATTAAATTAAATAATTAATATATAATTAAATTAAAATGCCCATTTGGTCAGGCAGTTA